AATCTTGAAACAAGGATTAGGAAAGTAGATATCAAACATTTACACCTGAGATACGCAGATAAGAAAAGTTAAACTCGCTATCACTACCTACTAACTTGTCTTATTTATTCTGTTTAAAGAAAAAAGTCAGCTAAATTTTACTTAAGATCAAACTTAATTGAAAAATTAGCAAATTTAAAAAAACTTACAATTAATAGAACATGAGAAAGGTATTATTCCATAAAATTGTGGAACTAGATCGAAAGAGATTGTCGAGGCTGTGTAACTCGCGCTATCATTCACTTTAATTTTATTTAAATCATACAAAAATTGATAATCAAAAGAAATGATTGAAAAATTTTACAAGAATAGAGAAAAGAGTGAGAAAAAGGAAAGTTGAAAAAATTGAAAAAATTACGAGTAGAAATATCTAATCGTTCGATCGATCGTGCAGATTAATTAGTAGAAAAGTAGGTGTAATTATTCAATTTACATTACGAGCATCGGAAAGTCGAAGACGAAGATTGGAAAAAATTGTATTATTTATATCACTTTAACGGGAATTTTTGTGGGAATACGTGATGCGCAAATACATGAGTAGTGTGACAGTTTCGTGACGTTGAACGTGTTACAGGAAGATGGACATTATCCACTCAACGTGCTCCAAACTACCACTTTACTCTTCATTTGAACGTAAAGCTGCTCGTATCATTCGCAGCCTTACCTATTTAACCCATATGTTTGTGCCAATTCTTTGTAAAACATTTCACATTCTTTTTCAGTTGGTTAAATATTTTATTTTATTTATTACTAAATGGGTAAACTAAATGGGTACATTTTCTCGTAAATTTTCCAGCTTTTTTCTCTTTCTCTCTCTCTTTCTCTCTCGCAAAACTTTTCAATCGTTTTCTTTGATATATCTAAAGATAAATTACAATTTAATCTTTAGATATATCTAGCAACACGTATCCCTAAAAGACGTTTGTAAAATTATTTAAAAACATCTTATTATCCTTTCAATATTTTTAATGACATTTTTTGACTTTTTTGTGCTATTTGGAATGTTATTAATTTTTTGTATCTTCTCTAAACTAATTTCACACGGATAAGTGGAACAAGTCGATCTTATATAATAGTCTTGAGATATAATGTAAAACGCATTATGTAAGTATGTATAAATCAACACAGTACGAGACTCTAGTTTCATTATGTAAATTCAATTAATATTGATGAGAATCGATAAATAAAATTATTAGTCCCGCTTGAATTTTATTTGTCATTCATCATTGTCATCAATATTCTTATAAAAGGTTTCGGTAACATAATTTTCAAGCAATGTAACATTCCTTATTTACACACACCGCACACACACATACATACATATATATATATATATATATATGTATGTATGTATGTGTATCCTTGTAATATATACATACATTACGTAATATATATTTTATCAGTAGTACTTTCATTTCCTGGGATATATCGATTTTTTTAAAGCGATTTTATATCACAGATCCAGGGGAAAGATTTCGCACAGCGATAGGAAGATCGATCGATCCTGGGGTTATTCGTAGATGAGCCATATATATTCGTCATGGTTTCTCCTTCCACCATCAACTACCTCACCTTGCTTGTTCTCCCTTCCTCGGCCGTACTGGTCGTAGTCGTGTGTTCAGCACTGCTCGCTGGTACTGTATACATCGATGCTAGAGTTAGTGAGCTTGCGCCACGCTAGCGCCGTACATTAACAGTGCTTTCTCAGTTCTTCGAGTCTCAAATGATACTTTCAGGCGTTTTCAATTCTTGATTCTCTTCTCCCTCTCTCTTTTTCTCTTTTTCTCTCTCTCTGTCTCTCTCTCTCTCTCTCTTTCCTTCTCTTTCTCTTTCTTCCCGTTTCTATTTCTCCTTCTCCTTTTTCGCCTTTTAATTCCCCTTATCTCTCTTTTCCCCTACTTTTGTGTATATCATCATTTTTGCATTTATCTTCTTTGTGATTAACGTTACTCTAAACAATTAGTGAGGCTTCTCGACGAACAGTATTTCTTCGATTGTTCCAAGAGGAGGGAAGAAAAGAAAAATGAAGAGAATCCTTCATTCTATCGTTATCACTCTATGCAGTATTCTTCTGTTCTTGTGCTATAGCGGTAAGTGATAAAATATATTTAGGAGTGTATAATTTTTTAAATCGATTTTCCAATTAGATGCATTGCGGATTAACACCTCGATGTGCTATAAATATATGCTATAATTCTAACATGCGTATATGTAAATGTACCGTGTGCGTATTTTTTTGTAAAATGTATCGCGGCAATTTAAATAACAGTTTCTCTGTTAAACTTAATTTAATCCAAGCGAGATTAAAACGCAATCATAATTGACATTAGATGTTGATAATAATGAAATGTAGAGTGCAACAAAATCGCATGATTGCGCTATCGAAATATTTTACTCCGAGTTATGAAATAAATTTTAATTATTGTTCTCTGAATTAACGAAACGGAAAAAAAATCTTAATAGCAGACAGATAAATTATAAGTCGCGAAATTATTCCTATCAGATTTGTAAATTGGTTACTTAATGTGATCGCTCTCTTGTTTACTACACGAGGATCGCAAATAATATAAGTTTATTGATGTAAGTTTGTCGTATATTATAAATTTATAAAAAATGATGATTTTTTTGCGGATATTTTTATAACTTTGCGGTGAAAAAAAGATTGGAATACGCGTTTGCACGAAGACAGTCCGATTGTACGAATATATCTTTCCGGGGCATGTAGCTAGCGTGGCTGCATTGATTTTTCTACAGGGTAACCATATCAAGGGTTCGATGAACTATATTCGTGTATGGAATGACGCATGCAATAATCGATTAAACAAAAGTAGTGCGCCCTTTTTGGAATGTTTACACTTTCCGTATATATATAAATGTTACAATTTCTTTCAACTTCTTTCGTGTAAAATCAATAACATTTTATACTACGTGTGCGATGAATGAGAAATGTAAACGAGAAACTAAAGGGAATATAGCATGTCGCTCGATTTTTATTATACAGTTGTCAACATCGTTGTATGTAAATGATTTTAGCCAAGATTTTACAAAATTGATATGCCTCTCGATCTTGTTATCTCTTCTTTCCATTGTGAACTTTAACCTTGTTATCGCATTATATTGAGTATAACTTTATAAGGAAATAACATTACAAGCAAGTTAAATTAAAGAAGCAATTGACTATTATTGGATAGAGTTTAAATAATATAGGACATTAAATAAAATAATTATATTAAATAACATAAAAAATTTAATAATAAATTCTATTTGCGTATGATAGAAAAATTTTGAAACACGTTAAATTTTATTCGCGCGTATAATGAAAAGATTTTGAAACTTCTTATTTTCCATCTGCACGTTTTTAAAATAATTCATCTATAATTACAATACTATATAATAACTTCAAATAAGTATAATCTTCATAAATAAATAAAAAATATATCGCGAGATATTACGAAATAAGATATAAGTTTACATTTTTCAACGAGTAACATAAAGCTGTATTCGTATCATGCATGTGCGCGCGTTTGTGTGCGCGCTTATGATGAAAAAATAAAAGAGATATAAATAAATCGATTGTAATATTTTACAGGTGTTGATGCTATACAATGTTATCAGTGCAACAGTCGCAATAATAGCCAATGCGCCGATCTTGTTCCTCCAGAATCCATGAAGACGGATTGTTCGGAACTCAAGGATGGCGCAAAGTTTACAATGTGCCGCAAAATTACACAAGTCATCGAGTTTAGCGTCAACGGTCGTATGTGTTAAGATTGCATTGCATTAAGTATCGCTAAATTTTAATTTATTAAATATATAATTATTGAATATGTTTAGCATGATTTGTTTCTAAATTGAAAAAAATCTATTGATCTTACAGAAATGCGTTATCATATAAAATTCCATATGATCCATATCTAGAATAAAAAACTTGTCCTTTTTATACAGTACCACCCGATACGCGAGTTATTCGTGGATGCGGATGGGATGAAACAAATTATAAGGGCAAGTGTTATCAACGAAGTGGATTTGGAGGTAGACAAGAAGTTTGCTCTTGTTTAAATGATTACTGTAATGCGGCAACGCCTGGACCCGGGATCTTGCCGCCTCAAAGCCTCATTCTTTCATGCGCTCTAATCAGCATGCTACTAGCGTTTTTACGAAATTAATTGTTGTTAAAAGATATCAAAATTCTCCTCATAGAATATGTGAGACAATGATAAGCGGAAACTGGAAATTAGGGGAAAAGTAGGAAGATTTAATATATTAAGCGTGCTTTTTTTCCTGACACGAGTTTGTGTTCGAAGATAAGTTACTGAAAATAACGCATAGTAAATAAAAGATAAAAAAAATAATTTTACATCATATATAAGTGGCAGAGAATATACAATAAGATGAAAGATTTTTCACCTATCGAGAGGAATTTAAAAAAATACCTTCGGGATTTATATACAAATACATATATATATATATATATATATATATATATATATATATACACGAAATATTTTTCGAGTTGTTCATGTAGTCTAGTTACTAATAAATTATGTTGTATACATTGATAATTATCTAGATCATAATACATAAAAATAGATGTTGAATATTCTATAAATGAATATTCTATAAAATAGTAGAATTTATAGAAAGAATGAAGTTTATGTTATATTTATATATAGTCTTTCTCCCTTCAAAATTGATTTTCGTTAAAAAATTATAACTTATATTTCAAAACTTTTCTTTTTTCTTTTTTTAAGGAATTTATTGATCAAAAATTTACATATTTTTAATGGAGAAGAAGTAAATATTATATTTATTATATCTGCATTGATAAAATGTTGAACAAAAAATAGAATTTAATGCTTTATATCCAGTAATGTTTACATGTTTTAAAACGTATAAATATAATAAGATCTTGATTTTAAATTCATGAATACGAATAAAAAACTGTTTAAACGGAATTTCATGTATTGTAAATTACAATTGTTATAATTATTAAATAATGATTAAAGAGAAGTGAATTTTTAAAAATAAAACTCCTTTAAAGACATTTTATAGAATTGTATTGAGAGATCCACTCAAATTTCATAATTTTTCATACACTGACAATTCCGTGTGCACAACAATTGTATATCTGTAAATGTATTTACATCAGATATTTAACATCTGATATCTCAATATTAATAATTTTGTGCCTGCTATTATATAGTAAAAAGAAATGTTTAATCGTGTATTCAGAAAAAATTCTTATTTTTAATATTTTAATCACACGACACATTGTTATTGTCAATAAAATACTAATATACATATGACAAAACGTTATCATTTTATTAAACTTTAAAATTATATTATGAAAAGACGTACATCCTGTTTTTTACTAAATATATCTTTAACAAGTATCTACAATTCGTATCTTATTTTGTTTATCAATTTATAGGCAAATTATATATGATTTGTTTGTGTAAACTGGAAATATATTTTCGATATTATCACGTATGGGCACGCACGCATGCACACACATACACATACACACATACATAAACACATTATAAACACAAATTTTCACTATTTATTTAATATTTTCAATATAAGTAAAAGAGAATTAATTATATATATACGAAATATTTTTATCGAGCTGTTCATGTAGTTCCATATGTAATTAAAGTAGTTGTTTCATATATAATTAAATATATAATTATATTTGATTGTACACATGATCTTTTTCCTTTTTTTACATATTCCTTCCTTATCGGAGATAATTAAATATACTGCCAATGTAATATCTTATGTTATACCTATAATATTTGAAAATTAATTAGTACCTTCTATTTTGTTCTCCGTAACTATATTTTGAAGTAAATATTATTCCTTAGCAGATTCGAATAAATTGAAACTCTCTTCTTATTATGCGTTACTTTCCGTTATAATTTACGCGATCACGTGATCACATACCAAGTAAATTGTGTTTAGAAGAGAGACAATAGGCACTGAATATGCCTTGCGCAAGCGCCGCTAAAATGAAGCGGGAAATGTAGACACTTTTGAATTTTCCATTAAAGAAGATTAATTTAAAGAAGGTTCCTAATTAAAAAATTAAGCCTGTCACTTCTGTCAATTGTATTTTAATTAACATCGATCACAGTGAGTGAAATAATTAAAAAGCATACAGGACAGTGGTGTGATTCAAATCGCTGAAATAGGAAAAATAGAAACAGAACTATATGAAAAAGAAAGATTCCGTTTTAGGGACTTAGGCCGGTATTCATAGTCCGATCTTATATTTAAGATCGTCTTAAGTCTGATCCGAGGTTGACTTAAGACCTCCTTCAACCAATTAAATAGTTGCATAGCATTCCAAGCTCGAACTTAAGACGATCTCAAATATAAGATCGGACTATGAATACCGGCCTTATTTTAACATATTTTAGCCTATGGAACAAATTTCTCTAGTGAACGTCGCTGATGGAGTTTTCGAATGGTCGAGTTTGATCCGACCTGGGATACTTTATTAGACGTCATTGACCAATCACAGCCATTCTTCTGAAGAATGTATGGTTACATTCTTCAGAAGAATGGCTGTTATTGGTCAATGATGTCTAGTAAAGTACCCCGGGTTCGATCAAACCCGACCATTCGAAAACGCCATGAATTGGAGTATAATGTGTATGTATGTCCTATCATACACAATTATGCTTTGACGCAATACGACTCACGCACGAATGAGAAAGAGAGAGAGAGAGAGAGAGAGAGAGAGAGAGAGAGAGAGAGAGAGAGAGAGAGAGAGAGAGAGAGAGAGAGAGAGAGAGAGAGAGGAGTGAATTGTGTCAAGTTGCCGAATGCTGTCATTTGGCGGTGCTTCGTTATATCCCGTTCTATATCGATAGTGATTTGTAAAAGCGAAACACTCTCGCACGCGAATATTTTAATTGAAAATAGGAAATGGCGGATACAACCGTAGACGCTACACGACGCTTAAACGTTAAAAAACAGACGCTGGACGATGCTTACGCGGCGCCTGCGAATTTCCTTGAAATCGACGTGATTAATCCAATAACACACGGAGTCGGCAAGAAGCGATATACCGATTATGAAGTTCGTATGAGGGTAAGTAATGTCCATTTCGCTTTGAATATTTTCCATAGCAATACTAGATACACTCCGAGGCTCAGGCTCGGCTGTTGAGCGTGCAATAAATAAACTTTCGCTCGCATAATTTTTTTCATCCGAGACAATAAGACGGGCGCATTTTCACGTCAAACAGCTGTAATTCAATTACATTCAACCATTAGATATATTATGGGCTGTGCCTGTTATCATATTGATAAAAACCGAAATACGCTTGTCGTTATGCGTCAAAGCAGATGCAGTATTCTTTACATTGTATCTTTATTTTAATTTTTATATTTATAAACTTATTTTGTATGTAATATTCAGCGCAATAGAAAACAGAAAAATGTAAAAGATGTGCAAAGATATTTGATGAATATGAATAATCCACATAAATAATCTATTTATTTTTTATACTATATATTACATCACTATATTATTTGTACACACACACACACACACACACATTATATATAAAATATACATTGATTCCAACTCTTCCAATTCTTGACTATTTTTTTTTAGACAAACTTGCCAGTCTTTAAAGTGAAAGATTCAACCGTAAGAAGAAGATACAGTGATTTCGAATGGCTGAGAAATGAATTAGAAAGAGATAGTAAGGTTAGTTAAAGTTAGGTAGTATAAATGAGAGACATTGTAAAAATTATTACTAATTAAAGATAACTATTGCTAAGATTATGATTCTAAAATTCTTATTAAAACTTTATAATTTAATAAAATCACATATGATTATTTATTAAATAGATATTGTTTAAAAAGTAATACAATTGTATTTAAGATTTCCTATTTACATATTTTTATAAAATTGTAGATTGTAGTTCCACCATTACCAGGAAAAGCATGGAAACGTCAAATGCCTTTTCGTGGTGACGATGGCATATTTGAAGAAGATTTTATTGAAGATCGAAGAAAAGGCTTGGAAGTTTTTGTTAATAAGTGAGTATATTGTTTTGCACACATATTGTGGAATATGACAACTAATATATATATATATATCCTGATTTATTTATTTATTTATCCTGATTAATTTCAAAAAGGAATTTATTAGAAAAATCAATAGTTGTTTCAATTGTGTACATATTTGTGTGCGGGTATGTGACAGTTATTTAGAATTTTATCTTTAGTGATGCAATACACATATTATATACAGTATAAATCTTTATTTTATTTATTAAACATTTATTTTTAATATTAAAGAAAAGGATATTAGAAAAAAGAAACCAAAATTTTTATCAGTTATTTCTTTCAAACAAATGAAAACCAATGTCTTCAATTAATAGTTTGTTTTAATTTGATTGTACTTTGATTAAACTTGCATTGCTTATTTATGTTTCATCTTAATGAAAATACTGCACGCATTATTTTTAAATTGTACATTCTAACAAGATCAATCAAAGAATATTTTAATTATAATACTCTATTGCATCTGTAATATATTCCAATGACGCATCTACAATGCTATCAGTTTTGCTTATGTAGACAGATATATAACTGATTGTATTGTGTAACTATATTTCAGAATAGCTGGACATCCTTTGGCACAGAATGAACGATGTTTACATATGTTTCTACAAGAACCCGTAATAGACAAGAACTATGTACCTGGGAAAATACGTAATACATAAGTCAAAATAAGAAATTATCACAAATATCTTTTCCATCAAGCCTTCTACATTCAAAGTTTTCATTATATTGACATCTTATTTGAAAGTCATTAACATTCTTCTATACTTTTGCTAAAGCTAATCAAGTTTCCAGTACTGTGCGATATCAAATCTGGTCGCTTATGTGAAAACATCCACTATATCTATAATTTACACTCTTTGAATATTGCTATTCTCTTACACGAAAAGTATAGTTAAGCATCTCTTTATAAGGAAATAAATAAATAGTAAATTGGCAAAATCATTCTTGTTACTATAGGTTGATTCTGTCTATTGTTATAATAATACTGTTTATAACAAAGGAGATAACTAAAATAAAAAAAAAATGTTATTATTCGTAAAATTATGTTCTATAAAATAAACCCTTTACAGCACTATTGTTTTAACATATAAATAGAGCATATTTTTTTAATATAATTAAATATTTTATGTGCGTTTGTGTGTGTGAATTATCAGCTAGAATAATGATAGCTTTTGAGTCAAGAAATAATATTTTTATATACAATTATTACATATCAAAGGGGAGGGAGCGATACTAGAAGATATCAGCCAAGGAGATAATTTTAAATGAAAATAAATAAATAATTTAGAATAAATTTTTTTTTATACAAAGTTTTAAAAAAATCAAACTTTGGAATTGGAAAATTAATGTCTGCTTCATAAGTATACTTATTTATTATATTATTATTGTTATTATTATTATTATTATTATTATTATTATATTGGTGATATTATCTTTTAGACTAAAATATGTAATATTTATATAATATCATATCAAAAAGAGCAAATTTGATATATCCTTTAATTTTGTATAAGTTTAAATAATATTAAAACTGGATTAATATTATTATCATTTTTAAACATGTGTGGTTTATAAAGAAAAAAAATGTCAATTTCTTTTTCTTTCTGCTATGCAACACTTTCTATTGCATATAAAAAAGTCTCAAATCTACAAATTAGATAATAAGATATATGTTATAAAATCATATTATATATGATATATATGTCATAAAACGATATCGGAGATTTTTAAATCGATATATAAGTATTATATGTTAGGAATATACTTCTTTTGGATTTTGAATTCTTTAGCCAATTTTGAGTATAATTACAATTTTGTTCAAAATATAGTTTATCATGTAAAAGTCATCGTATATCGCAATTTTTTTATGACATATACCTTTATAACTAAAAAAAAAAGGTACAAATTTAAATTTTTGTACAAATACAAAGTCTACCTTACATTAATTGAAGAAAGATTTAAGATTTTTATGTTTTCTTGTTTCTTTGAAGTTTAATTTTTCACTTTATTTTTAATTTAACTCGACATTTTTTTGTAAAAGAAAAATAAATACGAAATTAATCAAAGAATTCATAATTGAAAAGAAATATATATAGTTGTAAAAATACTCTGTATTAATTATTCCATCATTACTATTTACTTCATTCATAGTAACTCTGTGTTCATACATAAAATGGAAAGATTATTATTAGTTTTACATCCATCTCGATATGTCGAATAGGAACTTGTTTTATATATTTTGAATCTCTTTGTGTGACTTTTTATGTGTGTGATTTAATATGCAAAACAATTAGTGTATTATTATGGATTAATATTACATATTACTACAATCACATATTATCATCACTTTCATTGTCATTTTTACCACTCTTTCAATATTTTTATTATTTTACCATTATTGTACCTATTATTAAAATTGACAGTAAAATTATATTAATTGTATTAGTGTTTTTATTTTTTTCATTGTAACTTTATTATTTATGTTAGACACTTTCTATTTGGCAATATCAGGTCTACAATTTAAAAAGATAAAAAAAGAAAAAAATTTAAGCTAAATAGAAGAAGAATATCAATTTTTTAAAATAAAGTTCTAATGGAAGATACCACTGGTTTGATTCAAGATTGAGATATCTTTAAATATTATAGTTTTTTCAAATCATTTTTTTTTTAGATTTCTAAACAATAATCAATTTTATCAATTCTCATGTATAAAAAATGAATTCTTAAAATTTAAATAGAAAAACATGAAAAAAAATGTTCAAACAAAAATATAATTCGTAGAATAAATAGCGTTTCTTATAAAAAAAAATCTTCAATGTATTACAATACTTTCGTTTGAGATTTTGTTTCTTATTACTTTTAATATTTTTTTCTGTCTCTATTTGATGTTCTCATTGTAGTATACAATATTACTTATTTCAAATAACATTATTAATGATTCGAGTAATACTATCACTTATTTCTTATGAGATTAATAATTCTGGAGTTAATTTAAAATTAATTATTTCATGACAATATTTCACACACTATATATATATATATATATATATATATATATATATATATATATATATATATATACACACACACACATTTATTTATTTATTTTTCAAAATATCAATTTCTAGTTTTCAGAATTTACATCTTATTTATAAGTATTTACATATAATTTTCTCATGTTTAATGCACAAATGAAAAATTTGAATAGTATTCTAAAATATAACAATAGTATTACAAAAGAATTTATATGGAAGGAAAATTGTATATGTTAGAATATAAATTTTCTAAATTAACATATTGCATAACAGAATTGATAATGTCACGCACCTTCAGTCTTATAGGTATATATCTTGTTTAGTTTTAATAAATTTCTTGTTCTTGAAATAACTTTCTATATATTTGCTGACACATTCTTGCTCTGAAATATATAAAATAAAAGAATAGGAATTTTGTTATTAAAAAATAATGTCTTAGTGTACCATATCTACAGTATCTCTATTTTCTCCTTAAAATGTATATGAACAATATCGTGCATCATCTAATATGTCATAGAAATTTTCAAATTGAAAATGGAATGAAATAAAATTGATGTAGTAATATACGCATTGTATTGTAAAATCAATTTCAAAAACCATTCTTTCTTTTATTTTTACATTTGCAACTGTCAACAAAATTTTGCCTTAATAATATGCCAAAAAAACTCATTTATTACACATCACACATTCACACGCGCGCGCATACACAATACATATATACACAACATCCAAAATAATAACGCGTTATATATTAATTAAATTCATATTCTTAGATATGTGCAAAGAAATATAATTAATTGCAAGATGACAGATTGCTTACCTGGAAATGTATTTTCTATAATGAGCATGTCCGCGATATATTTTGCAACAGTTTTGAAAAGCTGTCGATCTTTAATTCTTCTCTTTTTGTAAAATGGCATTAGATATTTAACAATCCAAGGCGCTATTCTTTCTTTGCAAGCCGGTAAATAATCTTCTATACAGATTGGTGATTCCGGCATCATTTCTTCGTCTTCACATTCCCCAAACAACTCAAGAAATTGCTCTTTTATTTTTCCATGTTTACGATAATTTGTCAATGATAATTCAGTCATTTTGGCTTTTAGTTGTGTAACTTGATGCACTCGTTCAACAAACCAAATAGCATTTATCCTCTGTTTCTGTTTACTTTCATCAATCTCATTTCCATTGGTTTCTTTTGCTTTTCTACTTTGCAATTCCTTGTAACGACTAAAACTAACTTTTCTTTCACTTGTACTTACTTTTGCTATTTTAGGTTTTGGTATATTATCGTTTTGTGGTATACCAAAGAGATTTGAATCTGCTTCTAAACATATCTTATTAATCTCCTTATCAATATTAGCCTTTGTAACACCAGAATGTTTCTCAATCAATTTTGTAATATCAGTACTATCGTCACTCTCGCAAAACATATCTTCCATATGTTGTAATAATGAATCTTGTGAATTGTCATCTTCCTTTCTAATAGCAGTTACATCATCCATCATTTGGAAATCACTCTGATCCTCATGTTCCTGACTAGTATCGTTAGATTCTTCTTTTATAGTCTCTTGTAACATTTGTGTATCCATCTCGTCATCATCGATATTTTTCAAAATATTTTCACTTATGTGAGAATTGTCAGAATTTACTGTTTCTAATGCTTCCTCACAGTTGGGCGTAATATATTGTATATTATCATTTTGTGTATTATCTACTTCGTGCAAATCTGACCACATGTCATCTGTTTGTACAGCAACATCAATTTTATCTTTAGATGTTTCTAAAAATATTATTAATTTTTTATATGCTTTCTTTTTGACAGTATGCGACTTTATATCTTCAATCTACAAGAATAAACAAATTATAGTATCTATTAACATATCAACTGAAACTCTAACATTACTTTTTTTCTTATTGTTAATATTAAACTTTCTTACCATTCTTAACATATTTTGTCTGTACAAAGTAGCTTCTAATGCCAATCGAACTGCATGTAGTTCCATTTCATCTGCACATTTTTTTACTTCGACGTTTAGTATATCAGCATCTCTTTGTTTATAGCAAGTTATATAATTACCGAGTAAACATTTATGAAGATAAGACAAGTATACAGCACGGACCTGTGCAAACAATATATATATAATACAATATATAATATAAATAATGATGAAATCAATAATATGTACGCACTTGAATATTTTAATAAAATTCTACTTATAAAATAATTTGATTTTATAATTAAACTATCTCTACATTGTACATTGCATCAATGAATATTAGTTACTTTGTTGTAATCAAAATTTTTTTCCTTTGTCATAAATAATATATAATGACTAGAATAAAATTATAAATTCTTAGAACGATGTACATTTTAAATAAACTAGCATCATATAAAAGAAAAGCATATACAAACATTAAAGAAGTTTCTTCGAGTTATAAATTTACAATGTACAGTTTGTCAGAATTGTGCTTACACCTGTTACATAAGACAGAATATAATTATATCTTTGATCGAGAAATCAAAGTCAATTTTTTAAGATTTTGTCTTTAATTTAAGATCTTTCGAAAAGAAATGAGCACAGTTATTTAAATTAGTTTACATATAAAAAGAAACCGCTTGCCATTGCAGTGAGACGTAAGAATTCATTGTTGGATTCGTCGACAAAAACAGAATTGTTCATGGAAGGCGGTGGTACGGACATGGATAAGAAATCGTCAATATCATCCAGATTAACATCATCATCGCTGTCATTGCAGACATTCTGACCTTTTTTTAGCGCAAACGGTAGAGAGACATCGATACGATCCGTTGTCATCATTGTAGCGAATGTCTCGCGATCATTATATCTCTCACGAGTTAAATTAGGAAATTGGTTGCGACGAATAACTAATAATAACGTGATCGCAAATCATCGTCGGTATTGTTACACACATTATTTAATTTGCTAATTTTTAGCGATTACAATAAATTTGACTGACATAAATTGCCGCTACGGAACCGCTAACCGCGAACTATTATTAAAGATTAGCCGAATGCCGGATTAGCGTCTCTCCCTAGTATTACCAATATCAGAGATAAGGTGCCTTTACATGGTAGCGTCGAGCGTCTGCGCAGAAAACCATGCATTGCGCATACCTGCGCGGACTGGTATCCGAGTGATCACGTCGCTGATTGACTAATTCAAAATAGGACTCCCTGATTGGTTAATCATTGTTGGTTATCTAGGCACAGATAACGGCCATTGGCCACATTCAGCGGACTCAACAGTTGGGCAACATTACTAGATTTTCCGATGTAACTCGACGCTGATTGGTCGGACCTGAAAGTAGAGACCAATCATATTCGATTGCTACTTAGCGGTTGAGTATGCGTTGAATATGCGGCCATTGTTTTTATAGGGAATAAATTTCTGAATCTGCGCAATGGAAATAGTTTTCTGCGCAGACGCTCGATGCTGCTCGATGTAAAAGCATCTTTAGGTGCTCCTTTATTTAAAAACGGACCGATCTATAGTGTATGTACGTGATGTAAATTATAGATTTTTAATATTAGAATATCGGAACGTATAGCTAGGCTAGCATCTGTGCTTCGTAGTTCATGGTTCAACGTTGTAGTTGTTTGTGACAGCAGATTTTACTGTTCGATTATTACGGATTAAATGCGTATAAATTTATGAATTTGCCGATCGTACAGGTAATTATTGTATAATTAAATTTCTACGATTATTGTGCGCAAAGAAAGTAAAACGGAAAAGTTTTAGTGACAAAGTTACTTCGCAATGTTAATATTTCAAAATTTCAGCTGAATAGCATTTTAATCTTTAACCTTTAAACGTCAATTTAAGTAAGTGTTGTCTTAGACGAGAACCTTAATCAATTTTATTATTGTATTAGGATTAAAATTTCTTTAAATAAAGTGCCAAAAGTATTTTCTACAGCAAAAACATTGCGACTATTGCGTCGTGTTGCGTAATAGAAGTTGACTATTTAATTGCCGTTTTACTTGTATCGTTGAAATCACAAACGATTATTTCCGATTGATTTATATATTCTAGATAGAATTTTGCAATAATTAGCTTCGATTGATTGTTAAAGCGCATACAATGAGTTATCATCGAGGAAGCGGTAACAAGCCAAAAGGTTTTGGCTTCGCTGGCTTCCAAGTGTCTGGGACAAAAAGAAGCGGCACTAATATACCTCCACCTCCACCAAACGCGACATTGAGTAAACAAGGCTATCATACGATGAGTGCTATTACAGAGAATGCTTTGTCCGCTTGTTGGGGTATGCCTAAAAAACGCAGTAAAACAGAGGAGGAGTTAGTATAACTCTAAAAATAATGATATTTTTGAAGATTGTTATAAAAAAAGAGGTAGAAACAAATATATTATTGTAACATTATTATGTAAAATCAGATATTTCGAGGATGATGATGAACCTCCGAGTTCATCATTAGAATATATACCTGCACCTGGTTCTCCTACTTATGATTTGATGAAAAAATCTGCAATGAAAGAGGAGAGCGATGGCGAAGAAGATACCTTAGATGCTTTCATGGCAGGCATTGATGCGGAAGTGAAGCGAAATAATTATGCAGCTCAATGTGGTGATAATCGTAAGGAAGAAAAATCAAAAGGATTTCGGGCAGACATTGATGGGGAAGATGACGAGGAGAGTTATTATAGGTGCGAATTTTGTGCAAATATATATGATGTTTATAGCTGTTCATTTTTTTTGTATATAAAAATATTTAGTCATAATTATTATTTAATCATAATTATATTTATAAGAATAATTATAATTATATATATATATATATATATATATATATATATATATAATAATAATTATAATTATATATAATAATAATTATAATTATTTTAAGAATAATAATAATCATAATTATATTTATAAGAATAATTATTATTTAATCATAATTATTATATTTATAAGAAATTATATTTATAAGATTTAATCATAATTATATTTATAAGAAAAATATATATAGTTTGATTTTGTGTGTTATTTCTTAGATATATGGAGGAGAATCCAACTGCTGGCTTGCAACAAGAAGAATCCGATCAAGAAATCGAATACGACGAAGATGGTAATCCTATTGCACCACCAAAGAAAAAAGAAATTGATCCACTACCTCCAATGGATCACAGTGAAATAGAATATGAAACATTTGACAAAAATTTTTACAATGTACATGAAGAAATTGCAAGTTTAAGTAAACAACAGATTGATGACTTGAAAAAAACTTTGGGTATAAAGGTATCCGGACCATCTCCGCCGAATCCTGTTACAAGTTTTGGCCATTTTGGCTTTGATGATGCGCTGATGAAAACTATTCGTAAAAATGAATACACACAACCTACACCTATTCAAGCACAGGCAGTTCCCGCTGCTTTGAGTGGACGAGATATAATAGGTATAGCAAAAACTGGTAGTGGTAAAACAGCAGCATTTATCTGGCCAATGTTAGTGCATATTATGGATCAGCGCGAATTGAAAGCTGGCGACGGCCCTATCGGTCTTATCTTGGCACCGACAAGAGAATTATCTCAACAAGTAATATTTTATTGTAATGTTGATTCTATATAATGAGCATTTGAAATAAAAAAAAAACTTATATATAAATATATCGCAGATTTATCAAGAAGCGAAAAAATTCGGAAAGGTTTACAATATCCAAGTATGTTGTTGCTATGGAGGCGGTAGCAAATGGGAACAGAGCAAAGCGCTGGAAAGTGGCGCAGAGATTGTGGTCGCTACACCTGGTAGAATGATCGATCTTGTTAAAATGAAAGCAACGAATTTAACTAGAGTTACATTTTTGGTTCTGGATGAAGCTGATAGAATGTTTGATATGGGATTTGGTGAGTAAACAAATTGTAATATAGCTCTAAATACGCATCAATAATCAATACTAAACTACTTTTTTTTTCTTCCCTTTTTCTAGAACCGCAAGTACGATCCATATGTAACCATGTGAGACCTGACAGGCAAACATTGCTGTTCAGTGCAACATTCAAAAAGAAAGTAGAGAAGCTTGCTAGAGACGTTTTAACAGATCCTATTAGAATAGTGCAAGGAGATGTTGGCGAGGCGAATACTGATGTGACGCAACACGTTATCATGTTTCATAATAATCCTAGTGGAAAATGGAATTGGCTGTTACAAAACTTGGTTGAATTTCTAAGTGCCGGCAGTCTCTTAATCTTTGTCACTAAGAAGGTGCGAGAACCAAAATCCTCCCAATCCTATAATCTTAACAAACTCTTAACTATAATATAATACTAAAGAGATATGTCTAATATTTGTCCCTCCACATTTCAGCTAAACGCAGAAGAACTTGCCAACAATCTCAAATTGAAAGAGTTTGATGTATTGCTTTTGCATGGCGACATGGATCAAATCGAAAGAAATAAAGTGATTACAGCTTTCAAAAAGAAGGATGTCAGTACCTTAGTTGCTACTGATGTAGCCGGTAATTATTATATCTTTAAATATTATTAAACTATTTATATCTTTCATTCGAGATATTATATATATATATATATATATATATATATATATATATATATATATGTGTGTGTATGTATGTATGTATGAAATATACATATAAAATATCGCGTGACTTTTCAGCTCGAGGTTTGGATATTCCACATATCAAGACTGTCGTAAATTATGATGTAGCGCGAGATATCGATACTCATACGCATAGAATAGGAAGAACCGGACGAGCTGGTGAGAAAGGTGTAGCGTATACGCTTGTAACTGAAAAGGATAAGGAATTTGCCGGACATTTAGTAAGAAATTTGGAGGGAGCGAATCAAGAAGTGTCAAAGAGCTTAATGGATTTGGCCATGCAAAGCGCATGGTTCAGGAAATCAAGGTTTAAAGGTGGGAAAGGAAAGAGTTTAAATATCGGTGGAGCCGGACTTGGCTTCAGAGGCAGACCCGAGTCTTCGAGTTCGGTACGCATCGCAATCGCACAATTTGTATAAATATTCTTACATATTTTATCAAACTACTGCAATTATACATTTTAGGGTGGATCATCGTCAACGCAAGCATCCAAGGATATCAGTGAGGTAGTTAAAAAGTTAGAGAGACACGGACCTGGTAGTGATCGACTCTCCGCTATGAAAGCTGCTTTCCGAAGTCAGTATAATTCTCAGGTGAGTCACGTTTACTTCGGAAAGATGTATTAAAGAATGACGTTCAAAAGTAATCGGCAAATGACTTTCTCGAATGACTCAACAATTTTGTTTGTTATGTATATTAGTTTCGAGCTTCGTCAGATCATACTTGGGAGCAGACAATCACTCCACCTTCTGTGATAATGCCGCCACCCCCGACCGTACCGCCACCGAAACCAGTAGCTCAGGATAATCAAGCCTCCAATTCCGCGAGAATAGAGCGCAAAAGAGTGCGAAAAAGTCGATGGGAGTGATCATGTAATGTATCATTATTTGTGTATACACTATATAGCCGCTATTATGCTATGTCGGAACGGTAACAAGAACTGACTTGTTTTATATTATAATAAAATTTAATTTTACCAATTTGTACGGATATTATCGAAATCATGTCTGGTACCTGCTCAACAGCCTGATCGCGGCTTATAGCTTTATCGATAACATATTAATCTTATCTTCTGTAATATCTTATTTATTACAATTCTACGGAGCTCCTTCCTACGGATTCTTCCTCGGAGCTCAAATTGCTACATGCAATTCTTATGTGAGGTCTATAATCGCGTCTTTAAAAGCGCGCTTACGCGTTTAGTCGCAATTTGGGCTTTGAGTGAATCATTCCATAATTATCCCATAAGGAATCGTGGCCATGATCGTATATCGATGTGCAACGATTCTCTTAATTTCACGATCATATCCCTAATTGCATCTTGCAAAAGTGATGAAGATTATCTTTCCAGTAATTGCGCTATTGAAAAACGATGTACTTTTAGACGAAATTTATTGGTAGGTTATAAATATAAAAAAATATAATATAAGGCATAGTATCCGTTGAAAAAAATGCAGAAATATATAATCCAATCTCTCTATACAATTTTTTTCTAAAATTATCTTCAATTAATCTTCGATATATAATATGTATATCTTCAATAATTTTTGAAATTTTTAGAAAATATTTCATTGTAATATGTATTTCGCGCATGAGAGGAAGTTTAAGAATAGTTTACAAATTCAAAGAGAAGACGCGCACATACATAACGTAAGCAAGATAGATACGATGCAGAATTAATTACCTTCTCTAATATATTTCATCTATTGTATTATGCCTTTTCTTTCTTTAAAAACATTATCGTCTTATTACGCATCGATATTATTCGTGTATTGTTATCGATCAATGCACTGATCGATACTCGATCGAGTGGGATGTTAATAACTAACGGGCTGTCTCATCAATAGAAACGCGCTGACACGCGTATCTGCATTCCGATCGGCATGCGGCGTTATAACGGAGTTCTAATGCCCAAGGTCCTTGCTCATGGTTACGCTTCTCAAGATCGCAAGAGCATTATCTTCCATCTTGCCGCGCGATTAAGATACTCCGGAAAAAAGATATCGATCAATCTTCATCCTCACTCTCTTCCGTTCCACGTCGCATTGCAAATGAAGGATTGCATTTCTTCAGGAACATAAAATAGACTTTGCAATGTTCGAAATGCTTTTGCATATTATACTTTAAACAGCAATCATCTAAAGGTGAAGATACTTAAAGATTTATATAATTCGCGGCATCGCGGAACTGCTTTTCCGTCTGGTTTTTTCCGTCTGTTCCGCGAGAATCGTTGAACCTGTTGACTTCCTCGCAGCGTCTACATTTTTGCCGCTAAACTTTTCCATGGCTCTGATGTAAGAGCCGGTACAGATCCGACCCCAGACCCCTTTTCGTTCTTCCGTATATTGTCTGTTTCTTCCCTCGCTGAACGTCCCCTGGATATCACTCTTTTTCGCGACTCTGCAAACGTCTTCTTTTTCCAGAGATGTGCTTGAACCCGCAGCGACTTGGACGTCCTCCCACGACGATACATTTATATCGGATTGCATGCTGGATGGCGTGGGGCAACTGCTGTCGCTCGACAAAGAGGAGGATCGGATAAAGGATGGCGGAACCGTCAGCTTCGTTCGCTCTTCCGGTTGTCTGTCGGTCAACGATGGTTCATTCTTCGCACAAGAACTCGTCTCATAACCGTCTTGATTATCATGGACAAGATTGTCGTTCAAGATAATCTTCGCGATCGACGTTCTCTTTCTGAGATTTTCTAAATTTTCTTTAGGAGTATTTTTGAAACTGTCTACCCGCTGCAAAATATCTTTGAGATTTACATTTGTAGTGCCACAATTTGATTTATTTCGTTCAATCTTAGATCCGATTCTAGATCCGGATTTTCCGTTAGTCGCGATGACAGATGTTTTTTTAGGCACTTCGTGATTGTCATCTTTCAAAGTTACGTCTGGATATATATAATTAGGCAATCTCTCCTTTTGGCGAATTGAAATAGTAATCTTATGTTGCGTTTCTAATGGTTTTAGATTTCGCTTTTGATTCTTTGCAGACGTTTCAATTTTGCCAGACATAGCACCCTTCACGCACTGTTTATATTTTTCATCTATCGTGATATCGAGATTGCTTCCAGTATTTATGGTATCGATAAAGGACTGTTCATTACCCTCTTCAGACTGCAAAAGCGAGCAATGATCCAAAGGTAAATTCGTATCTTCATTCTGACTGATTAACTCTGAAATAGTAGCAACATTCTCTTCGAGAACCTTCACAGAATCTTCCTGATTCTCTTTTCGCTCGCTGAGCTCGTTCCAAGTCTTATTATCAACACCCTCGTTATCACGATTCTTTAAAACACCTTCGTTTTTCTCGTTGCGTTTTCTAAGTTCCTCCCAATTCTTTCGCGGCTTATAGCTCGTCTTTCGTCTGACGATCTTATTTTCAGTGATGTTAATGTCCGGGATAAAGAGACGTAAAGCTTTCGTGCCGGTCGGGAATATTACCTCGTTAATTCGTCTCTCGGACATGATTGCTTTCAGGCTCGTCCTCGAAGCGACCTCCTGGTGTTTGTTGAATGCGGAGACCAGCTGCGCCACCGTATATTTTGGCTCATCGTTTTCCGATTCCGTCGAACGATCCTCCTTATCATCGGACATTGCTGAATTATTGGAATGGCTAGAAACGTTAGAATATTGACGTTCGCAATGGTGTTTGTTAACTAAACTATCATGTTTCGCCTCGCGTCTCAACGGCATCTCATCGGAATCTTCCGTCAAGGTGTCCGACTCGACTGACTTTAAGGAATCTAGATTCTCTTCAGATTCCGAGGTGAGCTTCTTCGGGATCTGTAATTCATCTATATTCTTTGCTTCACGTTTCGTGTTATTCGATGACATGTACAAGTTATCTCGATTATCATCGTTGAAACCACTCGGTATCTTTGGATTCGTCGACACAATTGTTGGTATATCTTGATTAATTTTCTCAATCTTATCGGATATTAAATCAGTCTTTGATGTTACATTAGTAACTATACGATCATCGCTCATTGACGGTACAAGTCTGGAGGACGCGATCTCAGCGCTGAATTGCTTTAAAATTGAGAGCATATCTTCGGTTTTGGCGCGTTGGTAACTCTTCCTTCGACGCTTCAGGCATTCCAGGCTTTTGTAAATATCCAGGACACCCTGGGATTTCGACAAGGATCTCAAGCCATACAGTTTCTCGCGAGATTTACTGATAACAAGGTTCATTGCGGCAATCTCCTCGTAACCGATCGCCGCAGATCCATTCAGCAGACACGCCTGAGACTGAACGCGATTCAGACTGCGTATCCTCGAGAGTATTCCGCGGCTCAGACCTTGATTCAAATTAGCCTGGGACCGGCTCTGAGCTTTACTCAATAATCCTTTCGTCTGCTCTTGATTCAACAGACAACTCTGACTCGCGTAACTCAAGTTGGTCCTGGAAGACTCTAAGCTGACCTGAGAATCTACCGGGCTAGGAAATTCCTCGCTACCCGCCAAACTTAAACGGCTTTCCGTGAGATGGTGAGTCAAACACATTTCGCTCTGACTCAGTAGGCAGTCTTGCAACTGCCCCTGTTGATGATGCTGCTGATGAGAATTCTGATCGTTCTGGAGATCCGCCTGGCAGAGACTTGCCTGGCTAGTTGTTTGACTTATCAGCGCAGCTCGTCTCAGATTCTCCCGACTAACGACTCGTTCCAGGAGAACTTCACGCGACTTGGACAGATATCTTCGTAGATGAGGCGACGCTTGCATCGGGGCACCGCGTAGCCAATCGTGGCGCAGGCATTGCTTCGCTGTCATTCGTGCACTAGAAAAAAGACGAAAGAAGAAAAATTAAATTAAATTATTCTTCGAGAAAATGTATTCATGAGAAGACTCAAGCGTGCGATGAATGGCGATTATACCTCGGGTCTAACACCAAGAGCTTCGCGACAAAGTCCTTTGCCTGCGCCGAGATATCCTCGAACAATTCCTCGGGAAAATCCACCTCCCCCAAGGATATGTTCCGAAAAGTTTCCTGGTCGGTTTCGCCGCCGAAAGGCGAGAAGCCTGTTAGCAATACATAAGTTGTGACACCGAGTGACCTAGAACAAATGCATTCTTTTTGTAGAATGAGGAACATTTGATATACATTCGATATATACGAGGATTTGAAACATAAAGAAATAAAGCATAAACTTGACGTTTAGTCTTACCACATATCGGCTGCCAGCGTGATCGGTTCATAATGCAGTATTTCGGGCGCTGAAAGAGAAATGTAAACATGATTGAATATATGGAAACGTTTACACACAATATCATGTAGCATGATCTCATACGTTGAGATTTCCCCGTCCGTTTAACCATTTATTTTATTTTCAGTGATCTCGTATGTGACATCACTCGAACGCGTCATTTTTATTTACATATACGAAAGTCGTAGTAGGTCATCTGCTTGGGAATGAAGTCGAGAGTCGGGATTATCTGATTCGTGTCACTTCATCTATTTGATTCTGATTTTCAATTCGATTTATAGATTGTTAAAGTTATAATTCGCTCTAACTGTGAGAGGAAAAGAGATTGTAAACTTTTATAAAATCCTTTGTAAAAATTTAAAGCTCGATTTATGCTGTCGAAGCGAACGAAACGAACAAAAATAATATAATTGTTATAACTGTTTCTAGTTTATTGCCGAGGAAATTGAGTCATCTCGATATAATCTTAATTATCCACTGCCAATTGTTCCTATTCTTATTTCCTCGATCTTATTATTATTTTCTAAATATTGCACGATGATGACAAGTATTAATTAAATCGCGCGATAAGTAGTCCACCGGTTCTCTATCTCTGTTAAGTGGCTGATAGATTCAAAGCATCTTTTTTTTAACAAGCGTAACGGTACCACCTCCGATATTATCACCACTTGACCACTTTTGCTGCTCTATTTTGATCAAATAGATAGGCGGGTGAGACCGCCACATCGGCGATAATTAATCGGTAAATAATTTTCACGTCGAGTCCAAGAAAAACGCGTCATTCTTTAAACTGCAAATCATATTTAAATTTGTGACAGCCCGGACGAAGAAGAAGCGTTTATTCCCGCAAAATCTCAACTTTAAACGATAGAGAGAGAGAGAGAGAGAGAGAGAGGAAAATTGTGCACAAAGGAGAAACATTAATTCATCGCCCCTGTTCGACTTCGTTATTTACTTCGTTTTGCACGATGTAAAGGTCACATCAGACACGCGTCAATTACCTTGCCTGGAAAATGACACGATTTGAAACGACCGACGTCATTTACGGACCCGATTCTACGTATGTGCATGTCACATCGTGTGAGCACACACACTGTAACGAGAGTCTCTCTCCCCCCTTCTACCCATATGACTTTATTAAGGGCAGCGTGGAATGAGGCTAACGTGTCAATTAATACCTATTATATTTGTAATCTCGCCACGATGATCGTCAATTAGTAAATCTAGATAATCTAGATCAATAGCAATTAAGCCACACCACTTGGGTGATGTTCTCCTTTCACCCTCCTTTCATATCTCGGTAAATCTTAATGTTTGATATATTCGGCTATCTTGACAGTACATATAATGTAGCGCTATTATATTTTGTTTATTATATTTTATTGCTTATTAAGAAAGTTTGTCAAGTAGCTGCATGACGCTCGATTTCTCAGTAATCGCTCAGCCAGCGAATTGCTTGGAATAGTTATATATATTCAAAAAAATTTATGACGCGTATTAAACTTTCGAAATCTCAAACGATATGTTAACGTATTGCGACAGAAAAGGAAACAAACATTTATAAATATACATCTCTGAATGCTAAAGGAGATTTTTATTCTTTAAAAAAATATCTCAATTTTTTGCATCAACATGCAAGTCAAATTGTAAGGTAATAATTCACCGGAAACCAAGGAAAGTCACTCACCCACATAATCCGGCGTGCCAAGAATCTCGCGTACCTCAGTGCCCTCGAGAATAACTCTCGAGATTTCGAAATCGCACAATTTAACATCGCAATCCGGGAAGGAACCCATCATGACCAGATTTTGAGGCTGCAAGATTCAAAAGAATTTACATATATTTAATGAAAAAGCTTTCGTAAGCATGTACACATTATACATATAAGTATTTTGGTATTAATTAATTAATCGAACGATTGCATTCCGATTCATCTTTTCGTTCGATATATATATAAATATTTAACGAATTAATCGAACGATTGTATTCGGCTTGCCATTTTACTCGCCGCGTTACAGTGAATATCGCGCGAGAGAGGCAGGCAACATGCGCGGCGTCCTGCAGGATTTCGACCGTCCGCGCGCAGACGAAAAACAGCCAATTTATATCTCGACTTCCGGACGCGATAGCGATTTCGTTCTTTTTGCATAAAATTCTATACCATTTCGCGGTACTACCGTTTAAATCTCGTCCCGATCGCCCGAGGAGCGGCTGACTTACAGTGAATATCAGAAATCTGCTTCTTGGACTCACACTTAAGTGTAATATTTATACAGGTCCGTCAATTTTCGACTTTAACGAAATAAAGAAGTAGATTGGCTCAAATTAAGAAGGAATGACCTGTATTGTTTTGGGATTGTCGCAATAATTAACGAAATATTAAATAAAGAAGATCGGCCAATCTGCGTGAGTAGAAGCGCGCGGCGACGAGAATCGTCTCACTGTAATCCGATACTACGAGCGCGGCGTAACGCGGCGAGTAAAATGGCAAACCGAATGCAATCGTTCGATTAATTCGTTAAATATTTATATATACCAAACGAAAGAAGGGCGAAAGGAGAAGAAGGAGCAAACAAAATCTTTCGTGAGAATGAGCGCTTTCGACATTTTGCATTTTTGCGACAATTTGATGAATGAGAAAAATAATTAGTCGCGAAAAGAATGTGTGTGTCGCGACGTGATATTATCGCGAAACAATTTATGAAAGTGTATCGAATAGAAGGATCAAGTATGCGAATCGCTGCGTTACTCGCGACAGATCACCATGAAATTCAAAGACATGCCGACAATCCAATTATCATAAATCGCCAACAACCGATATACAATGAAGGCTGATAGTGAGTATCGAAGGCTGCAAGATATTATAATTGCTGACATAATTTAAATCGTATTGATTATACTGCTCAAGATGTTCTAGAATCGCTTACACTTGCCACTAATTGTTGAATTGATTAAACTGAATGCTACATATATGTATATGTTATATATATATTCGCACATGAGGCATATTGGTTGAGCAAGATGTGATAAAATCAAGTGTAGGTGTCGATCGAAAAGAATTAATATTTTAAATATAGGTGTGTGCGTTGCAGTTATCTGGCTTTTCTATTAAAGATGATGCGGGACAACAACAGAAGGACGTAGCGCTTTCCGAGCGTCATCGGTACTCCACTCGCTTAGAATCCTCGATTTAACGCGAGGTAAGCCTTGGGCATTTTCTCGTAGGCGCGCCTGAATATTCAAAGTTTCTCTCTTGGTCGTGCGCGACTTAATAAATAATGACAAAAGATGTAAAAATAAATCTCGATTCTCGAGATACGTAATTCCCTCGCGACACAGAGCCATTACGTAGCGGGAATATTACGCGCGGCCGCACTACTTTGCGTGCGCGCGAGTCCACATAATAATATCGCGATCAGAAGCTCGCGATCGAATGCGTTGCAGTTGAATGATAAATAGGCCACACTAGTGGGAAGATTATAAAGAATAATACGGGGTTCGCAATCGCGCTTGTCATCAAAATGGCACGCTGCGCGATCTGCCGTCTTCTTGTTGTTCGCAGCCTTTTTTAGACATTTATTTTCCGTCGACAGTATGCGCGCGTTTTCCGTGGAACGACTGCTGATTAAAACACTGAGAAACGCGAAGTGATTCTCATTCGAGCTATTCGTAATTTTACGAACTTGGAGAGATCAGCTGACGCGGTTGATACGTAGATCTAGTGCGGCGCATTTTCTCCTTACGTACGCGAATTCAATTTATAATAGGTATATGCCGCTCAATGAAATGTAAATTGTTAATTTAACCGATCCCTTTATAGCCCAGATATATAATTTTAATATTTTAACATATCACATCTATATAAATTTTGTAGAAACTGTGACGAACCGAATACGAAGTCTGATCTCAACAATGGCCTCGAGCGTTTTGTTAATCATTTTCTTTCAGCTTTATGACACTATAAAATAAAATATTAGACTCTTCAGAAGGATGTGATCAACAATCCCACATGATTAAATCTATGAAATATCTCTACTTTATTCAAACAGACGCGTGGGCTTAAACGAATACCGTAAAGTCGTCTGATCATTCAATCAAAGTGTTTGTTCTATGAGGAAAATATATATTATATCTGACTCGCGGTAGAAAAATTAATATTCATATACATAAATCTCATATATATGTATAGAAGAATTATATATATATATATATATATATATATATATATATATAATTCTTCTCTATTCTAACATTACAGTCATTAGACAGAGAGAGGTTGCCAGATCTAAAATTGTCGATCGGTGACTACTATTCTTCCCCTTGGTGGATACTTGGTGGGTTAGAGTTGCTCTCGTTATGGTGTCCAGACATGGGTACCTAACGGAGATAGGAACCAGATGTGATTCACCGAGAGTGTATCAGCAAAGAAGCAGGGCGTGGTCGGCAACTACAGCTCGCGCGTTCTGTTTTTCCTCCGCGCTGGGAGTTTTTGCATTCTTTTGTACAAACGACTTTGCTCAGCGAGATATCTCTTTCATCTTTGTCTTTCTCTCTCTCTCTCTCTCTCTCTCTCTCTCATCTGCATATCCGCGCCGGATCTAATGTGATGCGGTCGCGTTATTGCAGCGAAAGCGTTATGTTTCTATGGACCGCGAAGACTTTGAGTGGGTGGCATCGAGCTTAAAGTGCACTCGGTAACTTGTGGACTCGGTTGCGTCCATCCTTTTGTTTGCCTCTTTATTGTTTTTTTAATGAGTTCCTTAGAGATATATTTTAATGCAGAGACTTTATAGGTCCTCGTTTTCCTGGCGTTTATTCGACGAGAGAATCGTCCAGTCGAATGCATGGCGTAAGATGGGCTCGTTCAGGATAAACAATCTCCTCCCTGATCTCCTTTTCTCTCGCACATACACGCTATATCCAAATACGGCGATAGTGTGGATGGAGCGCGGAAATAATGCGTTCACGTTGCGTACGTAACGCGTTTCATACGCCGCAGTTGAATGCGCGTTTGCAATCATAACGCTTAGGAAATAAATCAAGTGGAACCCATTTATCGCAAAACTTGAGCAACTATTGCTAGTTACAGTAGGCCGGAATTAATTCATTACGTCACCGAATGCGATAAATATTAATCGATAAATATTAATCATAATTGAACTTTGTACGATTAATTTAATCTGTTGATCGATCAAATTGCATCGTCAAGAAAAAAATCCTTGTTTCGCGCAAGAAAATCGGATATCCACTCGATCACGGCTTCTTATAATGCAAATCGATCTAAACTCGCATTGCGCGGATAAAAAGTGCAAAGTGAACGTTTGGTGAACACTACTTTTGCACCTCTTTGCGTATTGTTATCACCGGTTTATTTCTCCACCCACGCTCATCCTGAACTTATATCCTGACACATGTTCCTCTCGCAGTACTAATCGGATGTCGGTGTGGTTTTTTTGATTAGCGAGTTAACAATAAGATCTATATCTTAAAATTGTTTAGTGACGCAAGATATATATATATATATATATATATATATATATATATATATGTGTGTGTATCTCTATTTCTATGAGCGAAGAGCGATATGATGGACGTCGTAAATATTTTATTACATGCAATAAATGCGTCCGGAAGAGAGCAGGTTAAAATATCATTTTTTTTATAGCATAATAAAAGTTTTCATAATTTAGTCGAGCTTAGCACAAGTCTCGAAGACCAAGTAGCGCTTCGTTTTCGAAACTTTTAAGCTCCTGACATTTTTATGCAACATGTGAATGGTGAAGACTTTCCTCACTCCTTCTCTCTTTCATTCTAAAGCGATACCGTCAAGATTAAAGGCTGTCGGAGATTAAAGACCTCTTCGCGTGTAAATGTCGACAGCGCTTAATTGCACCGCTACGAGAGGTTTTATGACTGAAATAAAGAAAAACGAGACAAAAAGTGAGACAGTCGGAGAAATATTTACGTTGCTCGAACAAGCACTGACAAAAAAATATGACACTGGCTTTGAAGAATAAAGTGAGCTAGAGTGAACGAGTCACTTTGTTGTTCAATGGACATAGCTTGATTCATCTTGTGATGGTTGCCCGATTTTCATAGAGAGCGTCGACTCATTAGAGAATATCCAAATAATTTATATAGCATTAATAAAGAGAGAAAAAAATATGTTGTACTGAAAGTGAATGATACATCACATCCGGGGCGTCTCTTTTTATTAATAAACGACTGACGAAATGAATTTCGTTCATTTAAAAGGAAAAAAAACATCGCGCGAAAAGATATCTTAAGTTTCGAAAGATTCGTAGTCCGATTTTATCTCTCGAATCCTGGAGGAATAACAAATATGCGAGGCACATCTCTTTTTTTCATCAAGCATTCGTATTTTAAAAGCAAGTCAGTTTTCGAAAATATGGAAATAATAATAATGATTCTGCGTTATATGTATCTTTATATACAGTATAAATGATGATTCCAATTTGTTTTCTTTTGAGAACTTGTCATTTATTGTACCCGATGACCGGTTGCAATTAAATTCTCCTCTATCAGCTTTATCCGTTTTTGTGAAATGGAGTTCAATCATTCGACAATCGTTTATTAGTCAACTCGTTCGATTACTGATTTAATTATGAAGTTGAAATATACCGCAATATCAAAATTTCGAACTTTATTTTATATTATATCGAATTTTATCGAGTTCTAAATTCTATTACGAGTAAAATTATCGAAACAAAGAGACACGTAATACCGGAAATCTGCTCTCGTGATTTTTTTTTCGCGCTTGCAACGAAGCGCAAGCACGGTTGGAAATTTCAGGCGACGCGTCGATGAAGTCGGCTCCAGGATCCGGAGAGAAGCGTGACAAGTTTGCATCGACCTTTTATGGGTCGAACTTACCTTGATGTCCAAATGGGCGATATTTCTCTCGTGGAGGTAGACGAGTCCTTCCACTAGCTGCCGCACAAAATGTACGACGTCACCTTCGAGAGGCACCAAATCGCCATCGATGAGCGTCTGCAGATCACCTCCGGGCGCGCTAAAAAAAAAATTATCATTCCAAGATTAGTAGAATGTAAGAATGTTAGAGAAATTATTGTGTTGGCGATAAATATCTATAAATATTACATTTTTTTGCATACATACTTTCCATGATATTCTCTTTCTTTAATATGATAATAATCTATCACGAAACTATTAAAAATACTACGAAAAATATCATATGAAAAATTTTAAAAACTTACTATTCCATGACCAAAATAATTTCCTTTGGCGTCTCGTAAACATCGTGTAGCCGGACAACACGTGGCGATTGCGAACATAGGGATAACAAGGCGATCTCGTGTCTCAGTTCCGCGCTGCAATCGGCGTTGAATCGATTTCTAGACGAATACTTGGCTGCGTAAGGTATACCAGTTGATCGCGATCTGCAGCGATAGACTTTTGCCCACTGACCGCTGTTAAAATATTAATAAGAATATTTCACAATAATAAAGTTCGATTTTTTTTATTCTCCTTCAAATAAACTTGTAAGTAGGAACTTTTCTCTTATCGCTACAAAATCTTACGATATTATTTTGCACATTTCACAAATTTGTGAAATATTTCTTTTTTGACTTTTACATTTTCAAAAAAATGTATTTCTCTTTTGAAAAACAAGTAAATTTACAAATGTAACCACTTTCCATAGCATCCTTCACTACTACTCCAAATACCGCTTTCCGCTGTATATCTTCTCTCTTTCCTTCATTTCGCAATTTTCTGCTACTTTGGTGTTATAAAAATGTTAAAAATGATAAAAATGTTTTATCCCGCGATCGCGATCGCGTCTTTAACAATTATAACCTTCGTCGCTTCATTACATGAGATATATTTCTGTTTATTGAGATTAAACATCGATTTTATTTTCGCGAAATCTCTTTAGCAACTTTTTGTTTCATCGCAGCATTTTACTCGTAGTTTTTCCCTGTTATTTTTAACAGACAATATCCCATTCGCGATACTTAATGTCATCGTCTTGAATTTAACATCCCGTCGAGTGATTACATTATTTACAATCCTGAACGCACCGCTTTTCATCGAAGATTCCGGTCGTCTCTTTGGCAAGGTCGACACAACGGCGCCTGGCAAGGCTGTGCCCGTAATGCGTATCTCACGTTTTCAGCTGTATTTAAGCAAGCATCTTTATACACAGGAGAGCGCACTACATAAAGTGCATCAAGTAAGATATGATCATAGATGATGCATCGCACATTAACTTTCTATATCGAGATCAAATACTCTGACATTCTACTTTTGCTCGCGTAAATATGCACTAAATAATCCTTTTCTCTTTATTTATCTTAATTAATTATATAAACAATATAATCAAATTAATAAGGCGCGAGGATTTGAAGATCAGGAGTCAGAAGTGCGGTTGGAAAATTGTGCCAGAATAGCAAGACTTCTCACATAAAACATGCAAATCGGCGGTAACTCATCGTCGCGTTTCTTCATGATCGTGAGATGAGGATAATGAACATCGATAGCGTAGACAAACAACGCAAGTTTCTTTAATTCGATTTCGATTTTAAGGTCGCGCATCAGCGTATCCCGAATTTCCTTCCTCTCGTCTGACAATGAGTCTGTAAAAGCGACCAAGAGGCGGAGAAACAAGAGAAACGGCGCCAGAGACGGAAGGGGCCGATACCGTAATTTTTATATTGCCCTTTACCACTCAAGGTTCGCTTCTAAAAGTAATTACCACGGGCGAGTAAGAGAGCAAAGAAAAAGAGAGAATGAAAGAGAGGCAGAGCATTGAATCGCCGCTACCCGAATAATATCCGTCTGTATACGGCGCATCGATTAAAGCATTTCACCATTATTAAAGATTGGTACGAGCAGTAATCATAGAAAATTGGATTTTAGCGATCGGATCACGGATAATGACAGCATCTGAGAGGAAGGTGTTGAAAGCCGTCGCGACTTGACGGAATAATTTATGAAAATTTATCGTGATCGTCCCTGAGACGTTTTTGTCTCCTGCTTATCGCTGTGATTCAAATGATAAAAAGCGTTTCGTTTACCCGCGCAAATTCTGTTTCAATTCAAATTGTTATTAATATTTTTATATATTTTTGATGTTAATTGTGGTTGACAGAAAAAAATATTAATATCGACATCTGTCATTAACTGTCATTAATTACGAGTTTAATAGCGCAAAACTTTAATAGCATTGACGTGCAAAATGCACGCGATCGCGACGAGTACGTGTGCAACGTCTCCGAGTAAATATCACGATTACATCTATAATACTGTTTATATATTATGCGAAGTGCTTTTGTGCAAGTAAATCAACTTTATTAATGGTCCAAAGATGTGCAATCGCGAACGATTGATGACGAGCACGCAACGAGTTATCATGCACATGTGCTATTCATTAAAAAATGATGCATTAAAACGTCCACGAAATGTCTTTAAGAATCCATGAAAATAAACACATTCATTTGCGGTTTTCACGGAAGGAAACTGTCAATTTCGATTAATAACCGAACGATAGAAATTAATCAAAAATAAATATCAAACATATGATATCGTATTTTATATTTTTTTTTCTAAAAAACAAATTGCGAATACGTAAACACAATAATGAATCGTCCTCTAATATAATTATTTTTAAGATAACGATATCGACGATAATGAAATCGGCAATTTATATTCAAAGAAATTTGAGATAGTGTATATATTTAAGATTGATTATTTGCTTTCCACAAATTTTGTTGAAGAAATAGCTTACATTATCATTATGTAAAAGTCCTTATCGGTTAATTTGATGAAAATGAAAGTAAGGATAACGACGGTGAATTTCACCGGTAGCACTCTATCTATAAATATTACGCGTTTCGCACGCGACTCTAAATTAAATTATTAGTACGAAATTACAGGCTGGGCAATCAGTATCCTATTACCGACGTTCCATTACTATTGATCTCGTCGACGATCATTACGAATCTAATTCGCGCAACGATTAGCGACAGTGCAATGAATATATGATTAATACACGACGCGCGTCACGTATCGTTGAGCGTATGCGTAACACTTTGACAAATTACGCGACGCATCCAAAAATGATTAATCATCGTGCGTGGCTTGTTACGCACAATATAATCCGCATATATATGTATATATCGTTGGGAGTAAATTTATAACTCTACGAAACAACCCATTTTTATGAGAAAATTTAATAAAAATTCAAGATTTGCGCTAAACTCGTTCAAAAAAATAATTTCTTTTAAATTTATGTAATAAAACATTTATAAGATTATCACATTCGCTATTTAGAATATTATATAATATTATATAGTATATAGTATTATAAGTTAAAAATTTTGTAGCTTCCAACATAATTTGCATAACAAAATGATAAAAAAGAATTGTATTGCGAATCGATTCACCTCGCAAACGGTGTTGAACCAATCTCGTAGCGTTCCGTGATGGGTTCCGTCTTGACTACTTTGGCGAGCTGCGTCTCCTGGACGAGGACCAAGCCTTCCTTCACGTGTTTTTCGCTCCACTGTACCCTGCATCTCCCTTTGCATCTCTCGTCGTTGATCGTCCGATCGTTTGCTCGCTTCGTCCTTGCACACTTGCCCGGGAACGCTTGCAGATTGCGATGCTGCAGTCTGGGCGATGTTTTCTTAGTAGATGACATCGTGGGTGCTTGATGGTTCGACTGATAGATCATGGTAAATAGAACGCAAACTTGCGAGGATACGCGTATCAATATATATTCAAAATCGTACGCTTGTTGTGTTTTACGCCGCTTGCTTTGCTAGTGACAGCGGAGATTTCAACGCTTGGCGCACTCGCGATTTACCGAGTTTTTTTTACTCTGGATCTTCTTTCCGCAATTATCAAGACGTCGGTTCTATTTTAATGACTAGTCGTTGCTTTTCCGGTCACGAGATCGCGGCCACCGAATCTGCACTCTTGCTCTCAATCTTCACGGGTCACACTCTTCGTGCTCGATCTCCTCTCGATCAATTACGCCCTCGGAACGAGCCAAAGCGCGCGATATCATTCTATATCATCACGGGAAGATGACAACTCTTGCTGTGCGACGCAACAACAGATCGACGTCAATCTTTACATCTTTGCAATTGTCCATTTGCAGGAGACGGAACGAGAGAGAGAGAGAGAGAGAGAGAGAGAGAGAGAGAGAGAGAGTGAGTGAGTGAGTGAAAGAGGAAGAGATAGGGATGGAGAATGGAAGAGAGAAAGAAGGAAAAAAAGGAGTAAGAAAGAAAGAAAGAGAGCAGAAATCGCGTGGCTCACGGTCCAGCGCCGAGGCTGAAACTGACCGCCGCCAGAGAGTCAACGAGAGCACCGCGTCCTCCTCCGCGTGCTCCTCTCCGCTTCGCTCTCTTCCTTCTTCGCACGCCAGAGAACACGTCGTGAGTCTGATACCGACACCGAAATCCCGTCATCTCCCTTGGATCCCCCTCGATCCGCCCGCGACCTCTTGTCGCGATTCTTTTCCCTCCTCTCCTTTTCCTTTCTTTTCAGGGTCGGATCGAAATCCTCTTTTCGTGGTCCAACTTTGTAATTATGGGTGGACATGAAATAGTGCTTTAATATGTAAATAAGTAGCGGGGTTTGCTATTATTATCGCGCGAAAAACGATTCGACAAATGTAATTTTATTGTTGATTACATATGTATATGGATCAACACTATTCCTAAAATATGTACAGTAATTTCAAACGATTGATGAACCATTTATGGAATAAACGAAAATCTCATTTTTGACGGTATGTTTTATTGCTCATTTAATTTTCAAAATGTTCTGGTTTTCCAACAAGTACACACACATATATGTAATTATTGGAAAAGTAGAACATTTTGAAACTGAAATAAACAATAGCATACACTGTCTAGAAATGATATCCGATTAATTATACTGCATGTGTGTGTATGTGTGTGTGTGTGTGCAGCGTTTTACATATTTATATCTTAAAAATTAATAATGGGTTAATTGGCTTTGTGTGTGCATTCGTATGTAAATAACTAAATGTACCCATTTTAACTCGATTGATCTGTCGAATAATTTAAATACAAATACCGAAAGTACATTATTGAATCATGGAATCTCGAATCCAAAATGGCAAAGATATCTCGATTCTCGACGGGGATTGTACAAAGAGTATCTTTGCGTTATTACGATCGACGACATGCAAGAGCCACTTTGGCGAGGAATCTAGAAAGGAAGTAGCGGACCATGGTAGAAATTCTCCTTTTCCCCGTCCCGCCTCTCCTCGAGGCGCAATTTATGTACATGCATAATGCACTCGCGCCCGGACATCTACGCTACGATCGCTGCACGACTGGATTCCACCTACGTCGGAGTGGATCCTCCACAGCATCATCATCGCCACCATTATCTGGTGCCGCGGACGCAAATAAAAAAGTAGCAACAATAATGACGATGAGATGTTCATGTTCAGGAAAAAATGAAAAATCTTAGACGAAGCTGAGCCGAGCCCAATTTCTTTCTCAACATCATAAGGATCTCTGTACTCATCTAAAATGTAGTTTGATTCGATAAACGTTTAAAAAATCTCTAGCTCTAAAAATAAAAAATATCCCGTATTCTAAATTTATTTTCCGAAAGAGGAAGAAAGATTCTCTTTTCATCTTTCGCAATCACATTTCCATCGATATGGAATATCTGTTTAAGGAAGAGATTCGTGTAACCGGATCGACCTTTAACTTTTCTCGTTACAATAATAGAACCTGATCGTACGATAATTGAAAATCACTGTGTCGTCGCGCATGGCAGATCACGAGAGAGCGTGCCAAAAAAAAACGCGTCCATTGGCGCGTTTTACCGCGGCGGATTTGCATAGAGATGACCTGCGGGTTCGCGCGAGATAACCCGGAACCGCTCGCGATCGTGCGGAAAAGCGCGCGAAAGCGAGAGTCGAGAGGCTGTTGCCAAGAGAAATCTCCAGGAACTTTTCTTTTTTTCCAAGACCCCGGCCTCGCCTATTTACCGCCATGAGAGAGACGAACGCTCGCCTCTTTCGGCGTTATTGATGGACCGGCCGATTTGTGTTGCCATTTTTCGTTCTTTATTCCAAATGCGAGTAGTAAACACTTTATGTGTTTACTTAACGGCTTCATTTATCAAGTCTGCCAAAAAGTATCCTTTTTTTCCGTAATATCATGGACAAGTGCATCTTTGAATTTAACGCACGTGGGACTAATGGTAATTAGATGGGTCTCACGACGAGGAGAAAGTGTCGCGAATGCTTATAACCAAAAGGATAATCCGCGCTTATTTACGATGTAATTTGCAATCGATGTCGCAAGGTTGCCTCTCCAAAGCTTCGTTCATAAATATACATTTCGATGGAGGTATCTTTTGTAAATTCGATACCAATATTATTGGCGACTCTCGATAAAACAAGCCACTATTTTATCTCCTCTAATTGCCTACATGTAAATTAATACAATGCACCCTTAACGATCAAAAATCTTTCTAATGAGAGGAATCGTTATGAAGCGCGCATTATATTCGCGGGTAAAGCTTGCCCGATTATCATATTTTTCAGTTGGTGCGTAAACGCAAAGAGTCGAGGGACGGTGCGCGTCATCGTGCGTATATATAGATATATATATATATATATATATATATATATATATATCGAGAATCGGATCGGAAAGAAAGGAAAAGGAACTGGTTTGAGTCAGTCGATCGAAGGTAGTTGAACCGTGAATAGACGAGCGATTATCCTTGACATGATCAGCGGTGCGGCAAAGACAACTCGCTCGGTGCTAATTGTCAGTACTAATTGCTTGTCACCATTCGCGCGACGCGGAATATTCACACGTACGCTTCTACGTAAAATACCGAAACATACTTGAAGATACGAGGATACCAGGCACAAATAGCGACCATGTGCAACCGTCGATTCCACAAAGGAGCGACAAAGAACATTCCGTGAAAGTTTACACAGACGGTGTCTTTATGCGCGAAAACGGAGGCTGCTGCTCGAGAAACGTTGCTACTCTGTCGCTCAAAAGTCCTCGACGATTTATTTTCCAAGACACTCGGATAATCACACGAGTGTCAATCCCGCAAAGACGAAGGTCTTTGCGGAATCCTAATATCGCGAGATTTAAAATTAATCGAGAGCCTCTGGAAACACTCAAGGTGTCGCGCCTCTTTTTGGTCGCAAGTTTAAGATTACATCTTATTATATATATATATATATATATACACGCTCGCACGGATAAAAGGAATATTATATATTATGTTTATGAAGGGGACTTTAATATTATATACCTATAAGATCTCATTAGAGAGTTTTCTTATAGTCGCGTATGAAATGTCGGCAATTTACGCTATTAATTTCATAAATTGCGTTTCCTTCATTTCACGAGAGAGAGAGAGAGAGAGAGAGAGAGAGAGATCAATGAACCCGAATCGGTATCCTCTATTATAATCTAAATTTACGATGTATGTATTCACGATGTGTATTTTCGATGTAGAGAGGACAGAACTCGCATCGCAATCCACCGGTAATATTATTTATGAGGCCTTCGCACACGCGTCTGCCGATAGGTACTAAAGCGAGAAGGGAATTTTAGCATCGACAGACATGAATTCTATTTCAATGTTGACACGTCACTGTCATGACCGGAGTAGAAGATATATATATATATATATATATATTTATTTTGATACGTTATTTGCGTTTCAAAGTTCAATCTGTTGTGAATGCACTTATCCAACACGCGGAGAAAGATTGTTGCTGTATTTTCGCTTTCCTATGTTATGTCAAAAAGATGTCGAATGCAAATTTTTCCTCGCGTATAATAAAATAGCTCTACTATGTAGATTTACTGTCTTCATCTCGCGGTAACCGAAAGATTAAAATGCCAACTTTTCAGCGGCTATTCATCCACCGGACGCGATAACTCGCCGATAACTTGGAAAAGCCGCGACATTTATAGGAGGAGAGAGACATACGTGACAGATGCGAGGTCGGCTCCTATATATCGTGCTGTTCGAAATCAATTATCCCCGAGATGAGAGGGCGACGTGTATGTGCTCGCGCTTAATGATCTCTGTTTATAGGTCTGCCTCCACCGGCAAGATGCGATAAATTTGTGCCGCGCGTCATTGTTGACTTTGATGGGCCTCGTTATTCGTATCCCCGTCCTCGGCACGATACGTTGACGTTTTCGCGCGCGCAATAAAATCGATACGTCTCACTTTCTTGCCGTCGTCGCGATGCGAAAAGCGGCGCCTGCGACCTCCCTCGACCACTCGGTCTTCTTCCGGCTCGGTTGCCTCGAGGGAAAAAAATGTTTTCGATTTACGAACTTGACGCGCATCCGACGTAGGCAGCTTTAAATTTGTTTCATTTCCAAAGAAGCGCGTCAACATGTGTGTGGCTCCTTTTAAACATTGAAACTTTTATTGTCGTGCAGTCTGCGTGCGCGAATAAAATTTAGAGAATTTAATTCCGCGAGCGATACGAGCGATGGAGGTCAGCAAAATGGAAGTGCATCGAGTGTTTTCACCATAATTAAAATTATAAATATCTGAGCAAACTCATATATTTATACTAGATGCTGTAAATTAAGAAACTTATTCAAGATATGAAAAAATTACATATATATATATATACATTTTATTACACAAGGTATTCGCAAAGTCGCTAAATTCATCGACGGATCTACAACCAGGCTCGTTATTTGCACGACGAAGGAGACATTCACGACGGCATTTCACGAGGAATGCAAATTATCAGCTACCATAAAAGATGATGCGTACCATTGCGCGCTGCACGTGCACATGTTTCCTTATGATTTACGATCTTACAATTAGAATTAAACACAACAGAAACGATCCAAATACCGTGTCTAATAATCAGCTTGTCTCTGTATAAGGGACAGTAATTTGGATTTGTTTGGTACCGGACACGAGCATTGTTCAGAATTTGCAGATATTGATCTTAAAAGGATATCGGTAATCGAATGAAATATAAAGAAATAAAAAATTTTCGTAATTTATGCCGGTTCGCGATGAGTGCCTAATCCCGATTGTTGTCTGAAAAATTCAAATTTCACGACTCCTCGATTGATGCTTCCATGTAAGAAGTAAGAATACGAATCGCAAAGAGAATGCTAGAGAGGCTAATTCTAAGTCTAAATTCTCTCTCTCTCTCTCTCTCTCTCTCTCTCTCTCTCTCTCACCCTTCTCTTTTCATTATCGTGAGAGAGAAAGCTATCGAAACTCGCACAAATCGCCTAAGGGAAGTCAAGATCGCGGCAGCCTTAATCGTCGCAGCACGTGGTGTGTGAATCGGCTTTAAATCCAACGCCAGGATGAAATCGGTCTGCCTTGTAATTAGAGGCTCGCACGCCGCATTTATCGGTCTCTGTTTCGAGTTTGAGCGATTCCATACGCGAGTATGTTACATATCTCTCTCTCTCTCTCTTTCTCTCTCTCTCTCTCTCTCTCTCTCTCTCTTTCTCGTCCCCTCTTTCTGATTTCTTTCTCTTTCTTCTCGATAGTTGCAACTCGTACCCTGACCTATACGACGCTAAATTAACGAATTATCATTCGACAGCGCGAGCGGCGGCGGCACGACTTTATTTGGTCGCGCCAGGTGTTACGATCGGCACGCTGGCGTTGATTTAGCAATTTCTAGGCGCCACGAATCGCCAAGTAATCGCTCGTCGCCCCCGGCACTTTCCATTATCGGTATACCGAGTATACCGAGAGGCTGAGAGTCCACGAAGGCCGTCGTCACGGCGGATAAAGTGGAAAGAGACACAGCCTCTCCGTCGTCATCTTTCGTTTTCCTGCACAATTCGACGCGGCGCGGATGAAAGCGCCGCGTTGAGCGTGAGAAGTCTGGATTGTATTTTGCACCTCGTAAATATGACTCGAGAAAAATTGTACAACTTTTTTTTTCTATGCCGATAGCTTCGAATAAAATTTTCCAACAATAAACGTATATATATATAAATTATATTTTCGATATTTATTATATATTTTCGAGTGTCGAAAAAGTTTCAAATTCTCTTCTTTGTGGGCGCTTTCTCTAAAGTCACTATTCATCAAGTTTCATCAATGAGAAATTGCAAGGATTTGAAATGAAACGCAAATAATTGAAAATTTGAAACGGTATCTTTTTCTCCACATTACAGAAGATTAAAATTTATTATGTATGCCGTAAATTTCTGAATTTGTTCTTGAATATGCAAACGCGATGCGTGGGCAGCCTACATCAAGGTAAAGTCGTGCGGTTTTGTACACGATTATATCACATTTCATTCAATTGCAAAATGCATGATTATAGCGAGCACACTGTTATTATCTATTAAAATGGCAGTATTTCTGCCTGTATCAGTTGATTACGTAGTCACACGGTGACACAATCGTATCAATGTATAATCGCAGTTTCTCCGTTTGCTCTGTCATCATTGTTAATATTATTCCGGCGGATGTATCGTGAATTAAAACACACATGTGTCGCTCTAATATATATATATATATATATATATATATATATATATATATATATATATCTGTTTATAGGACAAAGGACAAGGTTTTCGGAAAAAGTGTTCCATTCGTTATATCGATAGGCAAACGTGAATCCAGAGCTGCCCTGTCTTTGGTCCGTATCATGATTTTATCGAGCACACGCAGAAGCGCAGATTCTCCTCTTCAGCTTCTCTATTTTTTAATCGCGTTGCTATTCTACCCTTTGGTCGTCTTGTGAGAGGAAGCGTTGAATTATTTATAATAACACTGGTAGGAATAACCGCATTAATGCGTGAAAGGGATTCCCTGTTCGTGTCTCAAGTGCATTGACCAATGCATGTAATGTCAGGAGATCCCAATGATTTTCGACTCGCGTCATATGCAAAAATCCTTTTACTAGGCAACCCGCTCGACATTGTTGTATATGAAGAAATCAATATTAGAATATCCAGAGCAAACGTATATTGACAAATTGATCTTGTCGAGAAAACAATGTCAGAAATAAAACGGCAGAAAAGTCGCATTATATTTTCGAGTGTATTGTTGCAGTTTTATTTCGTATGTATTATTAAAATTAATACAATGACAGAAGTGTTTACAGGAGGTTTTTAGCAGTTATGTACGCGATGTTACCCTCGCGATTAATTCCTTCGGTATTATTAATAATAATAATAATAATAATAATAATAATAATAATAATAATAATAGTAATAATAATAGTAATAATAATAATAATAATAATAATAATAATAATAATAATAATAATAAAATAATGTATAATAATATTGTGTATATATAATATAATATATAATATATATAATTATTGTAGAGAGAAGAGATAATATATAATGATAATGATAAGAGAATATATCGGACAACGCGGGGGGCATGTCGCGCAAAAAACAATAGACGACGCGTTCTCTCACGGAATTGTTGAATTTACACGAAAAAATAATGCGAAAATTGATTAATTCTGACTAATGACATATCACAAAAAAATTAAGTAAATAAATAATTGCGCCGCGAGAGAAGTCGGCTCGTTTGAATCGCGCTGCCCATCTCGTAGCAAAATTATATTACAAGATAATTCCGCTCTATGCGTGTGTGTGATTTTCGGAGACACATTCTCGAACGATAGACTGCCGCGCATAGATGTGCACATGCAATTCGAAAAGGGCTATACGTGTTAAAATTGTGCGTATACAATGTGCGCATTTGATGCATCGTGAATGATGCATTTCACGCGCATCCAATTTTCGTACAATCGCCCCTTCTGTTCTGATAAATTCCGGCAAAATTACAAAATCATCGTAATTCAAAAGATTGAATCGATCAAACAACCGCTTCGGTCCACGAGGTCAGAGAACGGTTAGCGCTTTCGTTTTCGTTTTCACTCGATTCCGCACGCAATGATTGAAGCAGCCACAAGGAAGAGACCAAAATATTACACGATTTCACTCGATATTTTTTCAATTATATTTTTCAGTGATTGAATTACGTTTGCAGAAATTCAACATTTTCACAGTCTAAGTAGTATAAGTTCTTGAAATACACAGTCAACATAAACAAACATAGTCAAAAGTATATTTATTCTTGAGAATAGAACCACCGAAAACATTAAATCTCTTTACGAGTAATGTACATGTAATAAAAAGATTCAGGATGCATATATATGTTGTATATACACATGAGGAATCTTTATATTGTTAAAATATAAAACATTTACTGGAAAATTACTACATTTTCTTTCGCATCTTATGGATTTATGCAGAAAAATGTGCAGATTTCGAGCAATGCTCTCATCCTGTCCAACCAGAGGTCAACCAAATCCATTATTAGTTGTGTTTACAGCGCTCTCGTCCATTCTTCTTTCTTTCCCGTCTTATCTCACATGACAAAGTCGCTCATTAGCGTCTCACTAACGTAACGTCACGTATCGCGGCAAACTAAAAGAAAATTAGAAGGCGCAAAAAAAGGGAGAACGGGAGCGTGAGAAAGAAAATGTGCCGTGCTTATGACTAGCATTCGTTGCGCGTTTCAATTTGCGCGTGATAATAAATTCCGCAAATATTTCGCTTATTGCGATTTGCGTTTTTATGAAAGCTCGAAGAACAGACGATCGTTTCATTATACTTTGCCATGTAGAACATTGCATAGTTTTAAAAACGAAAGAATGCTGTGATTCCAAAGTATAAAATAATTGACACTTATCGAAAAAGGAAAAAAAGAAAGAAAAAATATCTATACTCGCGATGTCATTCATACGAAGAAGCATTCTTTGTGATAACAAGAGTCAAGTTTTCGGTGATTCGTGCAAAGAGAGTTCACTGACATCTAAGGACCCCGCATTGTTAACCTCCTTCATTGAAGCCATATGATGCGAGCCAACTGGAATTAAAGACGCCTAGAAATCTCGTCTAGGCTCTCAATTTCGATCTCCTCGCAAAATTCGCGCGCAATTAAGGCACTCTTCACACCATGGACATGCATTCTTTCTCTCCCTTTTGTACATCGTAGTCTCGTGATTCGAGAAATCTCGCCACGTATCGAACAAAGTAAACATAGGCACTGGCGACTGATATGTTGAGCGCGCATGCAATTATGATCTTTCTTTAAAAGAAGGCACCGGAAATGTATGTATCTATCTGAATTGTTGGTTATCGTTAAACACGACAATCAGTTAATATGGCAATTTCAATGGAATCGCGCGCGATGCACCGAGACTGAAATACAGATTGCTAGAAATGCGACATCAATTTGTTTCAAAATCGAATGAGAGTTTGAGCTTCGATAATCGTACATCAATGATTGATACATATATGTGACAACACATGTTCATTAATAAATATTGTGCTTCTAAAGAAATTGTATCTTAAAATTAGGCCTTCGCTCTGAATAAAAAGTACAACGCGTCTAAATCTCGTCTTGGTGCATATGCACGCGATGATATTTGAGCTTTCCTCAGCTCGAAAGGACGGTCGGTCAGTCTATTGATAACGATAGGCTAAAGCTGCCTCGTTTAAAATATCTCATCACATCGATAGCGATCTCATCTCATCGCATTGATTCGATACACGGTACTTGCGGTTTCGAACGCATATTTCCATTTACAATCCGTAAATCGAACACTTATCGGCGAGAAGATCTGTCAGAGAGCCATTCTCGTTACCGTGAGCGGGTGATTGTCTTCGTTCGATGGAATGTGTTTTCCATTCCGCGGAATTCAATGTCAAGTGGTGCAACAATTTCATTTGATTTTTCGTTTGCTCCGCGATCATCCTCGTAATTTGTGCGTCACCGTAACCGTAAGCATCTTTTTGCAAGCCGATGCAGACATGTCACTCATCCCTTCTCTAATTATTCGATATGTACATTAAAACCGCCCTCTTCGAAACCGCTTGCTCGCTCCACAAAGAGCATGCGCACACGTACGCATACTCATATACATACATACGTATGTACATACATACTACATACATACATACATACATACATACATACATACATACATACATACATGCATACGTACATACATACATACATATCTACGCGCGTACGCTCTCATTCGTATGTACAACAGCCATTTGTTCGCTTTGATATGATACAACGATCTCTCGTCGGCACCTTCGCAAAGGCACACGTGTACAGGCACGTATACGCGTGCGATACGTTTCGCACTACGCAGCTACATAGCGTTTACATAGTGAATCACGGATGGACCGCATACGCTTTTATGCACAATCTCGGATTCTCAAGGAAAATCCGGCGAAAATCGGGCTAAGGCCTCCGGAAGGCTGTTGAATGATTCTGGAGATCAGGTTCTTGTGTGGTATAGTGTTGCGCACTATTGTTTATTCTTGCTACGAAATATTGTTAGTATTATGTCGCGATTAAATTATACGGTGCTGCTTTGCAAAATTTCTCTTATTTAAATCTTACAAACATGGGTTATCTTTATTCAGTTGCAGTTTCGGCAAAAGTAAAACACACCGCATTCTCCGCTAACGCTATCACAGCATTATGTGCTTTACGAAAAATAGATTTGGGAATAATCTCTCCTTTTGTTTTGACAATTATCGGATGGCACACGGTACCGCTCTCTCTCTCTCTCTCTTTCTCTCTCTCTCTCTCTCTCTCTCTCTCTTTCTCTTGATTTCATCAGTTTCTGCCACAACAATCAAATAAGAGAATTTAAATTCATTTTTCGCAAAACTCATATAATTTATAGTTTTATAGAAGAAAAACGTGTACGCGCGCAATCTCCGAGAAACTTTTGTCGTCACAGCCTTCAAAAAAAAAAAAACCTTGAGGAACTTTGCCCGTCCCTTTCCTTCCACCTTTATGTTTGATTTCGCATGTCTCTCGGATACAACATCTCGTTGCTCAAAACCTCCTGCCCCTCCTTTCTTTTCCACGTTACTGTACAGATAATTATGTAATATGTACACTTGCTTCAAAGCTCTCAATTCTTTCAAGGAGCTTGAGAATACTTGCCAAGACGTCTGGCGAATACAAATTCAACATTGACATCTGTCGGCGCAAGCCTGGCGCGGAACGATTTTAGGAGGCTTCGCGTACTTGGAACCGTCGAATCCGCGCTTGCACCGATTCGCATTGCACCTCGCTATACCTAGTATATCTACCGGCACGAATGGGCTCCCTGATAACTACTAGATTACCGCTTCGTTCGCGGAGCGCCTCGAGGCCGGTCTTGCCGCTGCCGCGCATCGCTGACGTCGCCGTCGCCGTTGGCGGTGTCGGCATTTTTGCAATCTTTGTTCCGCTTGTTTCCGACGTCAAGCGACTGAGCACTTTGCTGACGACGCCGCTACACTCGGGCGGCCATACTCTGTGCGCGGTGCGGTGATGCCTTTGCTGCTCCCATCTGTCGGCGGTCGCGTCGGCGGCGGTAAACGGGTAGCTCGCTCTACCCTGACTCTTACCGTACAGAATAAAATCGAGAGAGTCATCCGAGTAGATGCTGCTACGATCGCTCGAGCTATCGGTCGAGATCTCGGAGACGGTGTCGCTACCGCTGTCGCTGCTGCACTGCTGTTCCGTTTCGCCGAGAATAAAGACGGGCGTACATTTGAACACCTCACCGCCACCCGTGGGCATCGTATGAGTGGCGGTGGCGCGACGCTGATGAGTAACACCGCTGCCGACAGCGTTCGTCGACGATCTAGCGGCCGTCTCGATGATGACGATTTCCGGCACAACAGTGCCGGAGAACTTTCTCGCCAACGAATCCATGTTTTTCTTGAAGGTGTCCCTGCGGTCCGGGCTCAGGCCGAACCTGATGGGTTGGGGCGACGGTCTCGATGTCGAATACAAGTTTTCCGTATGCGAGGAGACGGCGCGCGGGCTCGTCGGTTTCGCGCAAGATTCCGTAGGGCTGTGACACACACCGGTCGTGGATGAACGATGTTGCTTTTCACCGTCGCTGCTCTTGGGTGTCGACGATGCGTTTGACGCGGTCTGACTGTTGGCGAGCGGTAAAGATAACGGCGAGGAACTCTCTCCTCGAGAGAGCGTCGTCGTGGAGTCCGCCGCGGGGCTGTCATCTGACGTGGAACACATCGTCGAAGGCAGCGGCGCCGACGGCTGCTCGAACATGTTGAACCAGGGATGTTGGAGGCACTCGGTCACCGTCAGGCGTTCACTGCAAAACAAGAATCGCATACTTAAAGAGAGAAACGTTGACGATATTTTCAAGGATACATAAAAAAAATAGATTTTTCAACGCGATTAGATGCGATTTTTGCAAATTTTCACTCGATTAGACTCTGGTAATCCGTGTTAGAAAACAGAGTTGAGAAGAAAAAGAGGCTCGGTGACTATGATTTGACTATGGTACGACGCTCTTGAACCTATATATCCAGCATAACAGGCTCGTTCCACGAACGACTCGTTCTCGTCATTCTCGTTAACTCGAAGAGCGAGAGTGTCAAAGGGTTAAGAGACCCGTCACATAAACGACCACCGGACGGTGGCCATCATTGTGGCGGTTCGCAGCGGGACATTTTTCACGCGGCTGTTTCGTGCCGAGTGTGTGCGACCGCGTCGCCTAAAGTATCGACCGACTTTGAAGGACATACGGAACGCGATACGAAAAGTCTTTAATAACGGAGTAACAGATTGTACTAACTAAATACGCAAATAATAACCGTCGCGGATGCGAAACGTGCCGGTTTCATTTCGAGGGCCAGTCCCCCTTCTCTAATTCCGGATTCTATCTGGGTCCGAGCAAAAAATGCTTACGCGAGCAAAAGTTTGTTCCGTGTAAGCGAATTAATATCTCGCACGTCACGAGTTTACATTGCTACAGTTTAGGTCGTGCGAATGGCGAAACATCGGCGCGGACAAAGTCTGTGACTCTGAATAGGTTGATGTAATAATTCCACGAAGTAGCGTAGAAGGAATTAGAAAAATGCATAACGCAGCAATTATGGTGATTACGATGGGCAGTTTTATAGATCACGCTCGCATTCAATTAATCGTTACGCTGTCTCTCGCCATTAATCTAGAACACGTTAATCTTAGTGGAAACGATGCCAAATGACAAATTACTAAACGTATTTTTTTTCTTCGCACGTCGTAGCCGGGTCTTGATTCCGGTTTTTTGCAACGCGTGCAGCTTCCTCGAGTCTAAACATAGGTAATTCATAGGTCAGCGAAGCGGGACGACCGCCACACATAACATTGTCGGACGTGACGATAAGTCATGCGGGTTTCGCACGATAAAGCACCGCACGCGGAGAAGGACGTGGATAGCGACTTCCTCTCAGCTGTCCGCGCGATAAGGGAACCTACGAGTTTTTCAGCGGAACTCGCCTGCCTCGCTCTTCCCGCTTCGAAGAAAGTCGCCGGACGTGGCCGCCGATCGTTTTTCTCGCCGTATTCGCCAAGGCGAGACTCGACGATGACAGTTCCTATCCTCGACCGGACGAGCTAATAAATGCATCTCGGTGGAATCACAGTGTCGTCATTGTGCACGGTATAATCCACGAAGCGTTAAGACGGGCTCGACGGAGAAAAACGACCGCGAACCTACTAAATGTAATTCGCACACATACGAGGAGGACTTTGCGCGCTTTGTAAATTAGACTAGTGGCTTTATTAATTCGCGCATATATATATATAGAAATTTTTCAAAGAAATTTGCATGACCTTGAATAATGATGACATTCGATGCCGCATCTTGTACAGTAATCGAAGCCAAAAAGCTGGAACTAATAACTTGATAAAAGTTAAATTCAAAGTCTTTAATTGGAGTCTATCGTTTCGAGAATCTATATAATGAAACATTAATGAATAGCTATAGGTGTCTTCGTTCCGTTAATTAAATTTGAATCTCAAACATCTCGCGTTCTACCGACTCCGAATCGCCCGTCATCATCCCGGTTACAGGCGCGCGGACGGTCGCTTGCAACGATACGCGTCACGTCTACGCGATGCGATTGTTTTCGTTCTAGGAAATCGGCCGACATACATAATCGGCTACATACGTATAACTAACAATGTAATCAACGCGAGTACAAGTATCCGCTTTCGCTTCGAGGTAAGCGCCGGTAAGCTTCTCGGTAGATCGCTGTAGGCTTCCGTGAAGGAATTATTTGCAACGGCCCCCTTCGGGAATTCGACTTCTCCGGTGACGCGTTCATCCATACTCGTCACCCAAGACGAACTACTTTTCGATTCGACTCCCGATTCGACGACCGAGGCTAAAATCGATCGACCGAGAAATACGGCACAGAAATTACGACGTGGGTGTGTAACGTAATCGCGTAATTCGCGGTGACGACGATCGCGTCGGAGTAACGAATGGGAAAATCTTTCGAATGGAACGTATGAAGATAAATGGCGAACAACGACAACGAAGCTTTTTTCCCGATAGCTCGGGATGATCAATGAATCTCGTCGTGATTGGCGCTCTACGCTCATTGCTTTAATCGCATCCGAATCAAACTTTTCGAGCCTCCTTTTCTCTCCTTTACTATATTCGATTTTACTCTCCTCTCCTCTCCTCTTTCTCTCTCGCTAACCCTTACTTTGGATCCTTAACCATAAGCTTGCGCATGAGATCGCGCGCCTCCTCGGAGACATCCTCAAAGAGATCGTCCGGGAAGTCCAGGCGACATCTACTGATGTTGCAAAACGTCTCCTGCTTGGTGTCGCCGCCGAACGGGGAGCATCCCGTTAACAGCACGTAGAGTAGCACGCCAACGGACCACATGTCGGTAGCCAGGCTGATCGGCTCGTAATTTAGGACCTCCGGGGCTAGACAGATAAGACGAGTGTTATATTATCGTACAAGATTGAAAGAGTCTTATGCATCCGGATCTGACGCATCAAATCCTAATGCTAGAGAGCGCGAGTTGCACTCGAGCATTAATTAAACCCGAGAGAAAAACAACTTTCTCGGTCTTTTCGTCAATTACGGCCCCTATTACGGCCGCGCGCGCGTCAACTTGCGAGGAATTTGCGCGCACGTTCTCTCTTCAACGGGAATAATAATAATAATAATAATAGTAATCGTAACTATGAACGTATTAGCGGTCTGCGCGCGGTCGCTTAGAGTCGACTCGCTCGTTGCATAATAACGCTAATTATACACTCGAATCGTACCGCTTTGTATCGGCACATTTCCGACCGCGCCAGTTTTTCCGAGCTCTTTCCTCAGCCTCTGTCAGCGTCCGTCCGCTCCGCTTAATCGCCAGGCTATTTAATTCGCGCGTACGGTCTCGCTAATTTCCGCGAATCGTCTCAAAGCTGACGTTAATTGATCGATTTAAATTTACGAGGAAATGACGATTGAGACTTTTCGCCCGGTACTAAGATCTCGTGTCATTATACTTTTTTATTCAATCTTGCGACGAGGTAACGTTAAAGTTATTCCTTTAGCTAATTTCGCGCTTCGCGTGTAATTGTCCGACACTTTTGTCCACTTGAAACAGAGGACCGTTAGCGCGGTGCGTAATTGCAACCGTTGCAAGATTGTAAAAGGTTCCTTCTGACCGAGGCGACCACGTGCGGTTCTTCAACTAGTTGTCGAGTTGGCGACTGGCTTGTTCCGTTCAATTATGCAAGGCGGCTGTTTTCCTAGTGGAACCGCGGACGAACCGTTTCGCGGCGCAAGGCACAGGTCGAAGAAAAGCGTACAAATGTACTCGAATCGACTTCTGAGACTAGAAACCGCACACTGGTTCGCCGCTTGTACGCGATGCCGCGGCATCGTATGAAAACTCGAGCTCGCTATCAGGATTATGCGGTTATATTATTCTCAACGACACGCGAGGTCTTTTAGAAAAACGTACAAGTGTCCAGTACGGTTATAATCCCGTTTTGATTATAACGCTGACAGATTAGCCAAAGTCTTTTTACCGCTTATTCGCGAATTCACAAAGGACGCATTTTTCATCCAAGTAGTCTTTAGACGAAGACGAATGGCACGGGAAGTAAGAGACTCACCGACATAATCGGGCGTGCCCAAAATCTCTCGTATGTCTGCTCCGTGGCTGATGTATCGCGATATGCCAAAGTCGCATAACTTTACATCGCAGTCCGGAAACTCTCCAGTAAGTACCAAATTTTGTGGCTGAAACATTAAAGAAGAAAGAGTTGAGAGATAATTCCCCGTTTTTCGACAATCGGATTAATATAAAATTTGTGTACATGTTTTTTTTTTCATTTGCTAAGATGTAGGCTACATTTTTCTTTCCACTGTACACTCGTGTAATTTGAAAACTCACGCGAAACGTGATCTGTAAAATTCACAGAGAAGGAAAGAAGTGAACATTTTATCTCGATTTCAATCCTCGCGACAATGTCAATTTCCTGTCGCGAAATGAATTGGAGAAAGTGAAAATTCTTTTCTTAAAGGAGGACGATTCGATCTTTTCTTGACGGTTAACAGACGGACGAAACATCCAAGGGTGTTTCATGGTCCCAGTCAATTATCGAGAAACACGCAAGAATGAAAGCAAACGGGCCAAAGTATTTTTTTTTTTCTCTACCTGACTCGAGGAATTTCGGCGCTGTCATTAATGTGCAAATATATATTAGTAAGCACAAAAAAATTACACACTGTATAATTTCAAGTATATATTATATTATTCGCTTTCCTCTTCAAGGTACAGTCATGCGCGATCATTAGCTCGCGATATGATTTAATTTTAGTCCGGTGGAGCATCTTACTTTGGCGGAATTTTAATTCGGATCTTAATTATACCGAGATACGCCTGATGGGGCTCGCAAAGTTTCGAGAAATAATAACTTCCGCGTCGAGACTGCGCGATAGATATTTTTTTTCCATGTACGCGGCGCGGCGTATGATTAATTGTCGGAGAGGCTGGCGCGAGCGGCGAGGCGGAGAGGAAGAAAAATTGCGGCGATGCGGCAATTTTCGACAATCGGGTGGAAGAGAGAGGCACTCGACACGTTCCCCACGCGTTACAATAGCGCGAGAACACCGCGTAGGAGTCTCGCATCATCCGCATCGCGCACGAGGTAATGCCAATGTAAACGATTCCACGATAAGAGAAAGGTCGTCGCGCGGCCTAGGAGCGACTCTAGAGGCCCACACGTCGTGTTTCTTCACCTCTCCGCCTCACCGACTCTTACCCCGGAAAACAATCGAACGCCGAAGAGGCCACGGCGAGAGTGGACGACCGGATCGTCGAGGGAGGGCGAGACGAGAGAAGAAGAAGCTCCGCTCGTTGCCGGTTCATTGTCAACGCTTCGCGGCTGCCAGGTACGACCACCTAGGTTGCCCGACAATTATTATATCTTTAGTACCGGGTCACGATTCCTAAAGGACGCCATTACCGAGATGTTTTATTAAGGAGAACGCACGTGGCGATCGTTTTTTTTTTTTTTTTTTCGAGAGAACGAAAAGGGAGCAGAAATTCTTGTTAATTTACTTCGATTAAGCACACCTCAATGATTCGAATTAGTCTCGTAAACAATTTGAAGAAAGGCAGTCAACAAAGATTATTTCGTTCGAATCGGAGCGCAGATGTTTGCCGTGCAGTTTGCAAAGGGCCTATTAAAAGAGTACGGATCACAATTACATTTATGAGAGTGACAAAAGTCGTCGGGCCTGCCGATGGTCATAAAAAAGACGTTGACTCGATTAGAATAAGAATGGGGGAACATACGAAACATATAACTTATTCATTCAAGGCTCGTTTATTACCGCATTAATAATATTGTGCAATTAGTATATTTATGTAACACACTTAATTTTTTTAAAATTAAAATTATATTGGAAGAATAATGTAGCATCGTATAAAAGTGACGTTATACAATAAAATATTATATATATAATAAATTAGTAATGCTTGTTTGTGAATAATTTCTTGCTGCTTTGCAGAAAATTAAGTTTATAATTCTTGTGATTAAGCTTTTACACATCTTTTATAACGATAAGAAACGAGATGGATCGTTTTGAAGAATTGGAGCGTAATTGATATTAACATAATTTTCTCCAACAAATCTACACATTACGCGAATTCAATAAGACGTTGAGGCGACACACACACACGCAGATTGCCAGCGAGGCATCAAGGATCACGACGTAATAATGAAGATTGAAGACTTGACGCTAAATTCAAATAAGGTTATTATCCTTATCGCGAATGATGCGAAATTTGCATGATCGATGACACCATTCTTTAAGGGCTCGCCACGAGAAATTGCGATTCGTGCTGGTAATATCGTATTCCTCTCCCATCACTCGCGATATAAAGTCGCTGAAATTTAAATAACATCCGTGGCTCGCAGAATTTTTTCGCGCATGATCGATGACACCGAGGAGGCCTCGCCAGGGGGAGATTGCAATAAGCGATGCATACGAGATGCGATATCTCGGGGACAATTTTCCTGGTAATCGATCGGCTCGCCCACGCCCAATTGCCACGCTAAATAGCGACGTTCGAGATACATACGAGTCGCGAGAGCTGACGTACGAGCTGTTCGTTAATGGTTAATTATGGAAATGTCTTTGTTCCTTATTAGGGGGACTTCCTGGACTCGCGAGACGCGATCCTGAATTGGTTTCTACGCCGTACGCGCGCTCGTACAAGGAAACGCGCGATCGAAACCTTGGATCGTTAACAGATTTTTTTCAGATTTTCCATCTTAACGAGTCGATTTCCAAAAGCTTGTTCTCACACAGAGAAAAATGTATACTGTATTCAAGTAAATATTATTTATTTGAAGTATATCATAAGTTTGTATATCCGCAAATATATCATAAGTTTATCACAAGCATTAAATTTAATTGAATATATTTTGAATTTTAGTAAACAATATTAAATTAAAACAAAAATTTGGTTTGCTTGCTACAAGAGTCGACGTAAAGTAAGTTTGATTTTTCCTTGATACAACTTTACAATATTCTTGAGAAGAGAAAATAAATTCTCCTTTCGAGTACATGATAATGAGATTTTCTAACAATTGTGACGAGTATATTTGAAGATTATTATCAAGAATATATTCTTTGTTGAAGAAAACTATTACTTAAAAAAAGAAAAATAAACTGAATAATCGCTTTTCTTGGCAGTAGAATGATATTTTTCTCTGTGTAAAGTCAAAACCTCTCTCTTCTTCAAAACTCTACCTTCTCTTTAATCGAGGCTCGAGATACAGGTTGAAAACTCTGACATATTTTATATTTATAAAAGGCTCGCCAAAATTATCCGCCATTTTCTTTGTCGTCGACATTTGCAAACGTAACATTAATCAATTCCCAAAGAATGCGTGTAAAAGTGTCAGTTGTAATAAAATGTACTTGTATTCGAATTTCTTTGCGGTCGATTAGTTTCGAACAAAGATAAAGCGTGTCTGGATCAAATCGATCATTTCTCTTTTTTTTTTCTTTGCGATTGACACGCTTCCTGCAACATACCATCTATATTTTACCGTTCTTATGCAATCTTGCATCACTCACACACACTCACACACACACACACACACACACACACACACACACACACACACACACACAACTTTAGTAGAAGCTGTACGCAGCAGGCCCGACGTAATATCGATCGTGCGCACCCTTGCGAATTGTAACAGGTGTTTCTGCGCCTCGCAGCGGGCACTTTTGTCGGATGTTGGCACTTAAGTGCCACGACCCGCGCAAAAACGCAGGAAGGACGTGTGTCATTAAATCGAAAACGCCAACAGCTATTCATCTTGGCCGAACAAAAAAACATCGGTTCACGACGATTCTCACGAACGTCAGAATTGTCCGTGCGTGTTTCAACCATATCGCCGCCGTCGTGGATTAAGACATTTCTATATAGGATTAGAAACGAGAAATATTTTCTGTAATTAAGCAGTTTGAAAACGCGTGTCCCCGTTGGAGAGGCGATCACGAAGAGACTCGAGAGATGGGAGTTAACGGAGCAAATCTTGACGTCATTACCCGGCAAAGAGTACATTGTCCCCGCAAGAAATCATCCGCGGGATAACGGTGCGTCTTCCGTCTTTCAAATGACGATTCTTTTTTTTCCTTAGACACACAATGCACACAACGCGTGCAATGAGGAGAGCGTGAAACTCGGGCGCGAGATTTTTAACAGCGACTGCGGCGTGTCGGATACATCTCGCACTCGTTAGGCGTGCCAATCAACACCTGGTAATTAGCCCGGTGATCCGCTTAACAATGCGTGACACTTTGCGAGCCGTCTCGCAAACGCGTACGCGAGCAAACGACAATTAGTAGCGAAAGAGAGAGGGGAGGAAAAGTCGAGCGATCTGGTCGCTTTACCCGTTTCCATTCCGTCCAACGCGATTTTTTATTTCTCTGTAGAAACAGTCGTTCAAATTATATATCGCGAAAATTTATTCGCGCGAATGATCGATATTCGTGTCTTTTTATCACGCCAAAGTCAATCCGAAAGAAACTGCGACAGCTTTCTCTCGTTTGTTCAAACTTTATTGCGTGCCTAATATGCCGAAGCACGCATACACGCGCACGCAAGAGTTTCGCACGCGCGGCCGACTTGTTGTCCGCCTTCCCCTTTTCTCTCTTCGCCGGAAGTTTCAATAAACGCGAGAGACAGATCCTCATAAATCCACCGGCTAAAAAGGCGTCGGACTCGCAGGCGGCCTCCGCTGTCTTTTTTCGCGCGCTCCATTTTTTCCCCTCAAAAATCTCGCATTGCGTTCAATGTATTTTTCCATTCGTTTAAAGAACCGACAGCGTCTCTTTTTGAAAGAGATAGACCGCGCTTCTAGAGATAAGAAGTAAGAAATGACGTTTTTTTATATAAATATCACGTACCTGATTATAATTCTAAGCAAACACTCTGTCGGAATGACAATCGAAACGAAAGATATTTCGACAAAGAATAAAACGTGAAATGTCACGTTATATCACTCTTAATTACCTTGTTTCAATTATCCTAATGAGTGGCTGAATAAATAAACATTATGTTGAAAAGCATTATACTCGCTGTATGCGTAAATACGTACGATACGTACGATGCATGATAATATAATTGATAAATGCGTCGGTTGATAACGTATATCACGACGACACGCATGTTTTATCTCCGCGTTATGGTAATAAACGTTGCTAGTCGTAAT